AATATTCGTTCTCGGAAATTATAATCTATTAAAAATACATGTCAAGATTTTAAAACTAGGGCTGGGTATTCTTATACATGAAACCAAAACAGAACCCATAAAAGAACAACTTCAATAAACTGATTACCCCCCAAATTAGAATCTTTGGTTCTATGAAAAAAACATGACATGAAGAGCCAAGCTGCCAAAAGGCTGAAAATAATTTGTATCAAATACAAGAAGACATTCATGTTCCACATGCAACGAATTCTCTAAACTCAATAGTAAAGTAAGGCCATTCAATGAGACATAAAGAGACTTTTACCAGAGAGGATATGTGGGTGAAAAACCAACACACTAAAGTGTGTTAAACATCACAAACATTAGTAGCCTCAAGTCACAATGGACTGTCAGAGCAAACATGTCATAATAGTTAAAATTGATTTTTTTTCCAATACCAAATGCTGGCCAGAATAGCTACAAAGCTAACCTATACATCAAAAAGATGTATAGTTATATAATATATTATTATATATGCTTATATACTTATATACTATAATAATTCATAGCTGATGAGTCAATTGTGTGATAAAAATCATTATGGAAGGTGGTTAAAGCTTCTTGATAGAACAAACACACATTTGCCTTCCCCACCCACCGTGCCCCCGGGCATTATCCCAGAGAACTGGAAATCATGTTCACCTAGAATTCTGCACAGCAATCTTCTTTAGCAGTTCCATCTGTAACCGTCCCAAGGCGGGAATGATTGACATGCCCACAGCAGGTGGATGATTAAAGCCAACCGCCTCCCCAGTCTCACAGAATACTAGTCAGCGGTCCAGAAGAGCAAACTATTGATACATCAGCAGCACTGTGGCATCTCTGAGGCGTTGTGCTGAGCCCAGATGCCAGTCTCCTAGAGTCACGGGCTGTGTGGTTCAGCTGTGCTGGTTTCTGGGGGCAGAGAGTCATATAAGTGGGTAGACTCCTGGGAACAGAGCTGAGAGCATTTCATCTCTGTTAGAGCAGTCTCATTTAGGAAATAAACTTCCTGTGCCTCGCCATACTTTTTATTTTAACCTTTAAAGTTTACTTAAATGGCTTTGTCATCCTATAGTGCCCTTCCTCCAGGGTGGCCTCATAGCCTAAGAGAGTTGAGTCAAGCAGCGTGAACCATGCCCCACTATACAGTAAGGACAGGAGAGAACCAATTTCCTTACAAATCTTTGCAGAGCGGGAATTGAAGAAACTATAAGCCCAGGGATGCCTTAAGAACACCAATAGGTTTCAAAGGCTGTCACACCACGTGAAACCCACTCTTCACTCCTGGGTTTAGCCAGCACACCACAGGTTCTGCCAATTAGGAAGGTGAAAGACCCAAGCGGTCCAGCCTTCACTGAAGAATCTCAAGAGCAATCTGTGCTGCCTGGGTGTCCGGTCTCGCTGCACACCCACAAGAAACTGTCCCAAGCTTGGAGGACAAGTGGCAGTGGAGCAGAGAGAACAAGGTGTTGGACTGGAAGACCTCGATGGCCAATCAGAAGCAAGCCTCTCAAGCTCATTAATCATGAGAGTGAAGGGTGTGACCAGCATGAGAAATACACTCTGCCTGGGGGAGATATAAAATCCAGGGGACTATGAGCATAGAAGGCTGGAGAACTCTGAGGTCGCATTGGGCAGTTAAGCGGGTACACAGTCAGGACAAATGCAGATAGCAGTTCATGTCTAGGCTTTATATGTAAATAAGATGTGCCTACTGGCTTGTATAACTGGAGAGTCTAAAGGCAGGGCTGGTTTGGGGAACCATGACTTGGAAAGCAACCTCTAAATTGTCTTTCTCTCTGTTCTCTCCCTTGTCTACTCTGTCACTCTCTTGACTCAGTTTCCCTGTCTTTGTTCTCAGACCTGTTTCTTTTCTAAGGGCGTTCAAGCCTTCATCACCCTGAAGCTCTGGGGCACTGAATGTCCTGAGTCTGTGAAGATCCCATGCCCAACTCTTAATGCTTTCTGTGGTATGGGTTCAAATAGAAAACTCTGTTGAAATGGGACCAAGTTATGGGGCCGCATGAACACTCAGAAGAACTAGATTGTCCCCATGCCTGAAGTATACAAAGCAGACAAAAGCCATCCTGAGACAGATTCTGAAATGCTGACATAGCAGGTGGGCACCTTACAGCAAAGGTTGAACCAGGCACATGGTGTCCAGGAGTTGGCACAAAGCAGTGGGGTTCTTCAGAGGGGACTAGAGGCAAGCTCACATGCTTGAGTATTCTGTTAGAAAGGGACTGTGGGTGGGTCCCACACAAAGAAACAACTGGACATCCAGAAAGGACATCCACAGAAGCACAGAAGGTCAAGAGTGAAATGGGAAGGCTGCATTTCTGGAGGACCACACTGGGCACCTGAAGTCTCCACACTTCACGGTTACCCTGAGAGGTCACTTGCTGGGAGTGAGAAGTTCTATTGCCCAGGACAAGAAGGCCAGGTTGGAGTCCCATCTGGACCATTTCCTCACACAACAACACATGCTGGTAAAGTGTGAGGGGTGAAGCAGCTGTGCCCATCGTTACTGAGAGTCTAAACTGCTGGAGTCTCTGTGGAAATTAGTGTACAGGTTCTATGCACGCCTTTAATCCAGCACATAGGAGGCAGAGGCAGGCAGATCTCTGAGTTTGTGGCCAGCCTGGTCTAGACAAGGAGTTCCAGGACAGCCAGGGCTACAAGAGAAACCTTATCTCAAAAAAAAAAAAAAAAAAAAAAAAAAAAAACAAACCAACAAAAACAAAACAAAACCTCCTAAAACTGTAATGACCTTATGACGTAGCTAAACCACTCTGGCAGATTCACAAATGACTGAGTCAACACACTAGAGATGCGTGGACATCCATGGATCTTGCTGCATGACTCACAACATCTGGCAGTGATGTCATCAGAGATGTACAGCAAGAGACAAATGGATAAAGATCATGGTAAATATACAAGTGAGTTTACTCACCTGCAAAGACAGACAAAATCCTTCCATTTGGATAGAACTGGATATCATGAGGTAACCCGGCTTCAGAAATATAAATATTACATGTTTTCTTTCATATTCAAAGTTCTGGTTTATATATGTAAATGAATATATATGTACACACACACACATATATATATTCACACCCATACATTTGTGACTTGAAAGCATACGGGGAATATTGGAAAAAGGAAAGGAAACAGTGAAACATTACCAACATTATTTGTAAGGGAGTAGAGGATATGAGCGTTCAGATGGCATTCACATACTAAAAAATGTCATAGTGAAATTTATCATTCTCTACAAGAAATACAGCTAAAACGAAAGCAAGACAAGCATTCAGATCCGTGCACTCTGGAGAAAGAACACAGGTGGAGGTACCAAGACTTGAGCTCAGTGCCGGAATAAAGATAGTGCTGCCATGAAAATAGACAGACCAAAGGCATGGGATAGAGGAGCGGAGAGAGACCAACACAGCTGTGGCCACTGAAATTTTGGCAAAAGTGTCTCCAACATGCAGTGGGCCAAAGACAGCCTGTTCAACCAATGGTGCTGGCAAAACTGAGAGCCCACATGCAGAAGACTGAAATAGATCCACATCTCTCACGCTGTACAAAAATCAATTCAAAGCGGATAAAAGATCTTAATTTAAAACCCTACGGCACTGAGATGCTGGAGGTAAATATGCTGTCCAAGACACTGGGGCAGGCGAGAACTTTAAAGAGAATCCCAGAGGCATAGCCCAACAATCAGCAGATGTGACTACGTGAAATCAGCGTGCCTACAGGGCAAAATAAACTATTAGTCCGTGGAATGGGAGAGAATCTTTCCCAGCTACACTCCAGACCAGGAGCTCATACCCAGAATTTCACAGATATCTTATAATGTATGCATGTGTATGCTTATAATGTATGCATGCGTATTCTTATAATGTATGCGGGTATCCGTGCTTAAAATGCGTGCATATATTTAGGTAAAGCCATGAGTGCAGGTAACATCTAAAACATTTAAAAGGTGGCCAAGAGGATGACAGCTGAGGAGGAAAGTTGAAAGGCAAAAGGACCCAAGAAATAAGACACAAACCCATTAGTTCCTAATTTCAACTTGGTGACAGCTTTAGCTTTTATTGATGATGTGCAAATTCAACCTTCTGCTGTTGAAGTGTCAAGAATCGTGTTCTCCAAATAATCCAGCGTGTGCTCTTCCTTTGGGGTGGTTTGGTGAACACCAGGCTTGCTTTTTCAACTCACTGGCCACCGGTGAAATAGGAAGTAGATGTGATGAGTCACTGCGTGTGTTTGTCACACTGCCCCTCTTGGAAAAGTGATTGTTCTGGCGGATGGACGTGGACTAGAGAGAAGGCTCCATGGTTAAGAGCACTGGCTGCTCTTCCAGAGGACCCGAGTTCAGTTCCCAGCACCCACACAGTGCCTCACAACCAGCTGTGACTCCAGTCTCAGGGGATTGGGCACACACTGAGCACCAGGCCTGCACATGGCACACAGACGTACGTGTAGGACAAACATCTCTATACACAAAATTAAATAATAAAATCTTTAGAAAATAAATAGTCTATTTAATACTATAGTGGTATTATTTGACATATAAGTTGTGTTACTTTGCACAAAGCCAAGTGTGGACTCTTGGCAACAGAAGGACTGGTGGCTACCCTTAAAACCAAGAGTGAAAAGAACACAAACAGGCCAGGAATCTGGCCTGTATGACAGTGAATGACATTTTGAAACTTTTCAAATTTATGTCTATTTCTCAGGTTTTGAAACCTTTTAAGTTGCAGAAAATTCGAGTGTGAATGTACTTCCCATTTGGGAAGATGAGCTGACACACATTGCTATGTGCTTAGATATACATGTGCATGTGTGTAAATATCAGCAACGGATGTACATGGTGTTTATTTGTCCCTGCTCCAAAGATTACTTGAGACGAATGCACTTAGAGGCAGGCCCAAAGAAGCCACAAACCAAATTTCTATCTGCTTCCTCAACCACAGAGATCCTTCCGAAAGCTGTGGCAAAGCCTTTGAACTCAGCTCCTCTGAGGACGGAGAGACGGCTCAGTGGGTTAAGAGCACTTGCTGCTCTTCCAGAGGGTCTGAGTTTGGTCCCCAACACCCACATCCCGAGCTCACGATCAACTGGAACTTCTGCTCCAGGGCATTCAACTCGACCTTCCAGTCTCCACAGGCACCTACCCACCCTTGCCGTCCACTCATGCAGACACATATACGTAAATAAAGAACGAAAGTATTATCTTTAAAAAATTCCACTTCTCTGTCGTGATAACAAGAAGGTTTCCTAGTGAGCACACCTCTGGGTTCATGAGCCCAGAGGGCCGGTTACAAATGTCCTTTGCGGTTCCTCCTTTTCCACCTTAGAGGAGCCCCAGAGGTGGCCTCACCATCAAGATGGGAACGTTGGCATGACACTCGTGAGTTCTGTTGAGAAGGAGGCCAAGGCTGGCTTTCATTTCTCAGGCTCCTCTCCCACTGTGAGGGGAACTTCTGAAATGCCTGCTTCTAGTGCCATGACTTTTAAATGAAAGACTTCTGAAGTAAATGGAACTGTTTATGACTGAACACCGAGTTAGAGATTACAGTGAAGTAGCCTGACTCACTGGCCACCTGAGGGTGATTCATGCAAGGAAATCTCCAGCCCAAGCCGTTATTATAGTGACCAATTAAGACCTGTGTGGGCTTCCTGGGTTTCGCACGGAGGCTCAGAGATAGAACTATGGTCAGGAGTGAAAGTTCCAAGAAGCCGGTGCTGAAAGGCTGTAGCCCTCCACTGACGGGGAACCAGCTCACGCTGGCTCAGTACACACTTCCTCTCTCTCTCCCCATCCTTTGCAATTCCTGCTTCTTTGCCAATTGTGTCCGGATGGAGTAAGCAGGCCACATTGCTTATGGAACAGCAGAGAACATTGCATCAGACTGAGTACTCCAGGTTAATCTAGGTTCCGGTCTCTGTGCTGCTAAGCACAGGTAGGTCGTCTATCTCCTCTGAGCTTTATTTGAGCTAAACTGAGATAACAGTGGTGTTTGCCTAATAGGTTTGCAGTGGAACTGCGTGGAGGTAGTGTGTGTGAAAACATTGCCTCTGCTCTACCTACCTGTTCTTCTGGCCCTAGCCCTTCTCTCCTAGACTGGCCAGGATGCTCTCTTAGCCTCGGGTTTCAGTCCTCAGAGTGCACTTGATAGAGATTTGAATACAGTGTTCCAGGTAGAAAACAGGGCTGGAGGATAGACCCAGGAAGTCCTTTGTCCCTGGGGATTCACTACAGACTTTGGGGGTTACTGTAAAGAAGCGGATTCTGGTTTTTGTTTTATTTCTAGGTGGTTCTTGCCACCCCCTACTTATGTCAGAAGTCTGGGTTGTATTTAGTCCTGACTAGATTGTCAGTCAGGGCGCCCCAATCCCCAAGCACCTCTCCGCCTCCTCATGTCTCCCTTCGCTCCATAAACAGGAAACGGCTCCTGCCGTTGTCTGCAGCGACATGAGGGGACTCACAGCTAAGAAGGACGCACAAATAAACAGGTGGCTGGGGGTGAGGCCAATAGGGGCGGAAAGGGCAGCTGTGAGACATGTGGGTTTAGGGTGAGGCTAAGTCCAGGTGTCTGTGCAAGTTCATCAGAAAAAGATGGGACGGAGCTGAGGGGCCGCTGGGCTCACCCCACTCTACGGTCCTGAACTGGGCAGCATTAGAATACTGTGACCTCACACAACTGTCCCAGATCCTCTGGAACAGAAGGAAGGCAGCTCAGCAGTGGCTTGGTCAGGAGCCCCTGTTTGGGGGGATGTGGGTTTTAGGCTTTAGGGGGGATGTTCTGTGATAACTGTCCTGGTTATAGCATGAACTCTCTGACCTTCCTTATTCTATTGTCACGCTGTTGTGTTTGTTTAAACATAATTGGGCCAAGATCAGCCCGCGTGGCCAAGGACTAGCCAGGCTTACAATGACTCCACGCTGCTGCTCACCTCTGAATGCCCCAGGGCACACTCCTCTGTGAGCCAGCAAATCCCGGGCATTGAGGTTGGGCTTAGTTGGAATGGTCACCTCACAGATGAAGAAAGCAAGGTTTGGTTGAGTTATGGCAGAGTGACCCCATAGGCAGAGAGACAACGTGGATATTCATTCCACTGTATAAATTCTACTTATTTTTCAGGAGAACCTGATTTTTATGAAACATCTCCAAGTCTGTCTTTTCTCATTAACTTTTGAGATTTGGAAAATATTGCTTGTTGGATGCACTGAATCAATTTGCTTCAAGGTACCAGAAAAAAAAAAAAAAAAAAAAACTCTCGTCAATAGAGTCAGCATTGAATTTAGATCCGTGGTGCTCAATCTTCCTAACGCTGAGACTCTTTAATACAGTCCCCCATGCTGTGGTGACCCCAAGCATAAAATTATCTTCATTGCTACTTTATAACTGTAATTTTGCTCCTATGATGAATCTGATATGCAGGGTGCTCTTAGGTGAGCCCTGTGAAAGGGTTGTTTGACCCTCAAAGGGGTTGTGACCCACAGGTTGAGAATCACTGCTTTAGACATTGTCATTTTGAGAAAATCATCGCTCCCTGTATCTTTTGCCTCTTTCTTCAATTTCTTGAATTTTTACAATGTTCTTCTCTGACCAATAGCATTGCCTTTTATTTTGAAACTGAAAATGCTATCTCCTTCCTTCTTCCCTCCCTCCCTCCCTCCCTTCCTCCCTCCCTTCCTCCCTTCCTTCCATTTTGATAGCAGCCATTCTGAAGGACCGGGTTCTGCCTCAGAACAGCTGCAGGTTGAAGGCTGGCTCACACCCCCGAGGGTGCACTGGCCAGCCAGAGAGAGGAGATGCCTTGGAATTCCATTAGTGGAGTGTAAAACTACCCTTGGTTTTTGAGGCTATCAAAATGCAAATCCAGTAGGTAATGTTAACGCTTTCCTCCATTGCCAGGCTCTTATGTAACCCAGGGTGCTTTAGACTCCTATCTGAGGGAAGGGTTGAAAAATCTAAAGGGCACTGAGAAAACTGCGCCACGGAAGAACTAGGTAGAGCAGGACATAGCAATGTGCGCTTGTAATTCAAGCTCTCGTGAGGCGGAGGCAGCAGGGTTGTGAGTTTGAGGCTAGCCTAAGCTAATTATTGAGAGTGTGTTTTATTAAACAGAAGGAGGAAGAGGAGAAGGAGAAAGAGGACAGGAAGGTGGATTGGACTGAGATGGCTCAGGGATTGAGAGTGGGTCCTGCTCACAGAGGATGGGGTTCGGCTCCCAGCACCCACATCTGGTAGCTCACGACTGCCCATGAGTCCAGATCCCGAGGGATTTGATGCCTCTGGCTGCAGCAGGCACTTGTGCTCATGTGCATATACCTCCCCCAACTCTATAATTTAAAATAAAAGCTAAAAAGTAATGATAAATAGGACTTGCCATTCAGTGGTCACACACACAAACACATGCACACTTTTTAGAGTTAAAACATTTTGCCTAGTGCATGGCTGTTCTTGTAAATTATTACACTTAGACGTCTTCCTTGTGACCACGACGTCCACAAGAGTAAGAGACAGCAGAGCAAAAAAATACAAAGAGGACTTTTTGGAAGCAGGGGTGATGGCCTGCCCCCAATTTTCTGTCTGCAGAGGGACGAGTGCTCTTATAGTCTTGAGCCAGGAGGCGGAAGAATCCTCCTAAACTGGGTTAATGACACCATGTGTAGTTAATGACATCCCTGGTAATTCCAAATAAGAGAGAGGAGCAGGCTGCTATTCTTGGGATTGTTTGCATTCTACAGAAACAGATGCTATTCCACAGAAGAGAAGTCACCAGCCTGGGAGACCGGAAGCACTGAGACCAGGAGGTCAGGAGTTGAGATGTTAGGTCTCAGCAGTGCTGATGGGCCCAAGATGTTGTATGTCCTCACCCAGAAAAGCAGCTCCTGTGCCAGTGGCCTTGGGGGACTATTTCTGGAACCCTAATTCTGGCTGTCAGGCTCCGTGTTTCCGAAAGTGTTGCTGTTGTTGTTTTGTTGTGCGTTTTGCCGAAGCTAAGACTGGAGCAGGGCACACTCACAGAGCAAAGGCTCCATGACTGAGCCACACCCAGGTAGCCACCGTTCTCTCAAATCATGCATATGTCTCCAAAACAGACGATTTGGGCTAGATTTTAAAAGTAGAGAATTTGGGATAGAGAGATGGCTCTGTCCAGAATGTGTCTGCCTCACAGTGTGAGAACCTGGGTTCAGATTCCGACACCCACATGAAAAACCACGTGTAAGTATACACCTAGCTATCACCCCAACACAAGATGGGGGGAAAGGGAAGGAGGCAAGAGTATAGACACGTGGCCCCGGAGTTCATTGGCTGGCCAGCCAAGCAGAACCATGTTTGGTGAGAGACACTGTCTCAAAAATTGAGAGTAGTGACTGAAGAAAACACTCTATGATCACCTAGCCTACACACACACACACACACACATGAGTGTGCACACGCTTACATGAACGTGTCCATATACCACACACACATACCACAAACCCATGTGAAAAACAAACAGCTGGACATGGCAGCAAACGCAGGTTATCCTGGTGTTGGAGAGGCGGGACAATGGAAATCACTGGCAAACCAGTCTAGTCTAATTAGTGAGCTCCCAGGTGAGATCCTTCCTAAAGGAAGAAGGCGGATGAGCCTCAGGAGGGATGCCTGAGGTGTTCCTCTGACCTCCATGAACCCCTACATGCACGCACTCACACAAACACACACACGCACACACACACACGTAATTTATACGATCTGGAATTTGATGTAGGGTGGAACAGCCTTCCATGGTAGCCAGGGCAGCCATCAGTGTCAAAAAAAAAACGCTTCCCTAAAAATAAAAGAGTGTCAGGGAAAACTCCTGCTCTAGATGGGCCCAAGGCACTGAGAGACCAAGACATCCAGAGCTGGAGTTGGGTTCAGGACATGTTTAAGAGGAACATGTTTAGGCTTGGCACACACCGGCCTTTACATAGTAGGGGATCCGTGTGGGCCACATGTCCCATTGAGTTACACACAGTGGGGGTGAGGGGAGAGCAAGGAGAAAGAGACCTCATGCCTATGCTACTGTCTTCTTCTTCTTCTTCTTCTTCTTCTTCTTCTTCTTCTTCTTCTTCTTCTTCTTCTTCTTCTTCTTCTTTTTAGATAAAACCCTACCCAATTGCTCTCTAAGCCAGGCAACCATGTGGTTTTTCCTGTGCAACAGCGATCTTTTCCCCCAATGACCGGACTTGTCACTAATCTCTTCCTAATTTGCCTTCATTAAATCATCTTGGACACTCAGATAACACTTATCGTGGAGACGGGGAGAACTCTTTTCCAGTTAAAATAAATCTATCATTGTGTTCCTTTATCATATCTATTGTATGCCATTATAATTATTAAGTTTAGCTTTTACAAATAGACTACCGTTTGCTTTGGGGCCCACAGAGAGCCATCTGTGCTGATTTAATGCGGTTCTGGCTGAAGGCAGCACCTGGGGTGAAATAACTTCTCAAGGTCTTCCCAGTGCTCCTGCGGAGGGAAGGAAAGACTTCTAAAAATATGAAATTTTGCCTGTAACAAACAGAATCCAGCGCCCTTGAGAGTGCCTTAAAGATTTGCAGGTTGCTACTGCCCTCTTGTGGTAAGTAGTCAGAGCTGCAAGCAAAAACTAAACACTCAACAGCCATTCCCATCTCTGTTGTTTAGGCTTGGGGTCATAGTGGGAAGGGATGTTGGCTCTACATACGCTCCACAGTTACAAATCACTGTAACACATTACCCAGTAAGTCCAAGTACTTTCCACGTGACCCAAATGTCCACATTCAAATTAAGATTCTCAGACTAAACACTGGGAGCTGAGCTCCGTCATAGAGTTCCTGCTGAGCACGCCTGAGGTTCTGAGCTTATCTTTGTGCAGGCTTGCGTGAGAGAGGACGGTGCATATGAATGACTGCGTGTGCCCACGAAAATGATGTGGGGGGACCATGGGTGTCCTCTCCCACTTGCTGCCTTATTGCTTGAGACAGAGCATCACTGGCCAGTGAGCTCTGGGGATCCTCACATCTGTGCCCTGCTGTTCTGTGAACACACACACAGAGCCATGCTCAGGATCTTTACGAGTGCTTGAGACTTGAACCCAGGTCCTTACGCTTGTAGAGTAAGTGCTCTTGCCCAATGAGCCATCTCTCTCTCTCTGATTTCTTGAATTTCATCAATTCAAAATGTCAAGAAAGGTGCTAAAAAAAAGGGGGAATAAGATGAAAGACATTCTCTGGACAAGGCTGTGAGGTTCAGTAGCAGAGCCCTCACTGACATATGCAGGTCCTCACTGGCCTATGCAGGTCCTCTGCACAGAATTACATTTCTCAGACTTCCTGGGGCTTTGTGTAAGCAGGAGACATAGTCGCCTTTGTTCTCCGGCTCAGCATCCTTCACACAGCTCTGTTAGGTGGCATGCATGCAGGGGCTGCTCATTGACCACGTGGGCACCTCCCATCATTGGCTAAGCTCCATCCTCACTCTTGAAAAGTGTCTCCTGCCACACTCACTGAGTCAATACCAATTGCACAGCCAGGAACAAACCCAGGAAGTAGACTATAAACTCCAGGAACTGTGTTGAAACCATTCTTTTAAGAATTCCGATCTTTCACACTCTAGAGCACAATCTAGAAGCTGGTGGATGTGGGGTAGCTTGAGCTCTTCAGATGATGAGGGTGTCTAAGCCAGTTTGTCGAGAGGTTTCACTTAGTCACTATTCTAATGTCCTAGGTTTTTCCGGCAAAGGATTAAAGAAAGAGTCTATGGTCCCAAATTGAGGGCTAAAAGTAACCAGTGGATTGGGCATACATTATCCCCTGCGTTGTCCTTGTCATCTTCCCCGCCTGGGTGTTGGTGTTGCCAGCAGTGACTGGTGATTCTGAGCAGTGGACTATGCATTGTTCTCTGAGAGAGGTGGCTAAAACTTGCCACCTCTGTACATGGCGTCCCAGTGTGACCAGCCTTTCACTCTGAGAGTGGCTTCCCTGCTGAGCTGCACTGAGACACAGTGGATTTCATCCTTCATGTTTTGGATGCTGTGGTTGCATTTTCTAAGTTCTTCCTACATGTCTGAAAAACTAAAGTGACAGCAAGCGTTCACAAATGTATTTTATTTGTACGTTTGATTAGTCACACCATTAATTATGACTGTCTATGTTAATTGACAGATGAGGTTAAGATAAAAGAATTTGTGTATTAGAAATAATGTCAATAGATGATAAAAATAGCAAGTGTTGAAGAGTTAACAAATGATTTTTAGAATATATTGGCTAGAAAAGCTTTGTGCCCCATTGGCTCTAAAATGTTAGTAGCTCTGACCCAAGACTCCTGGCACAACCAACAGCCACCCCATCTCTAGCGTTGGCTAGACTTGGGGTCATAGTGCAAAGGGATGCTGGCGTATAAATTCTGCACACCCTTCACAGCTACAAAGCAATGTAGCCCAGTGAGAGGGTTGCAGCCCAGGGGGCAATTGAGGTGATACAGACTCGTGCGCATGCTTCCTTCAGAGCACAGTAAATCGGCCCCCAGGTGCCTGTGTGCAGAGGGAACAAACCCGTCTGAACAATTAAAGGTAAATGCGCAATGGGGTTGGTATGCCAGCTCTGCACAGAGGCATGCGGTCTCAAAGATTGGCGAGTTTATAAAGCAAATGACTTCACACACAAAAAAAAGCTCATTTATTTTTTGATGATGCGTACACTCAAGAAATCAGTTTTTAATGTTCGCAGGCAGCAGATGCTAAATTGCAGCGACTAACTAGCGATCGCGTCTCAGAAAGTAGTAAAATCCGACTTCTTTATTAAGTTTACTGTTAAATGAGCGAAGGAAGACAAGCGTCTCCTCCTTTAGCAGAGCAAATACAACATCTGTCCACGGGAATAGCAGGACTGCGTTCCGGAAGGGTTCCTCGTTCTGGAAGCGACGACTGACTGGCAGGTACAGAGTGTTTTCTCCGATCCCAAACTTCAATCAGATCTGAAATATAATCTCGAAATCCCAACCCCCTTCTTTTCTGTCTTCCTTTCCCCTGCCTTCCCTCTCTCCCTTCTTTCCTCCTCTGGGATTTGAGGACACTGATGGAGGGTGAACCCTCATCCGTGGAGACAGGGCTAGGCCCCCAAGGTCAGAACTGTGTGCACAAGACCCTCTTAGGCTGCTGCTCCTGTCATCAATACAGGAGACAGGAAGACGCTGTTCCTTAGGTTGTGTCCATGCACAGCTGGCGTTAGCACTGGTTCTTTTCTTTCTTCTCCTCCCCCTTTTTTTCTTCCCGGAGGGGCTTTCCTTTAACACTTATTTGGAACACTGAATGGCAGTTTCCAAATGTGCCAGAGAAGACTCAGTTTGGAACTTGCTGCCTTGACTTTGCACCTTGACAGCTGAGAGGGCCGTGTCCCTCTTGAAGGACAGACAGCTCAGAGCTAGCTCAGAGTCAAGGCAGACCGGAGCTGTAAGCACCCTCCTGCTGCCTAGCTTTGTGGCTTTAATGGTTTCGCTGTCTGGATGTTAAAATCGTCTGCGTCTTTGGTACTCTTCTTAAAAATAACCAGAACTCACTCCAACCATGTGTGGACACAACCTTGTGAGGAACCAGTGTCTTCCCGTCTCCTGCACTCGTAACAGGGGCAACACCCCCTGAGAAATGCACCTGAGCCCCCCACTTCCCAACACACTTTGCCCCAGACTCTATCCCTTCTTTTCTATCCATCCTGAGACTTGATATCTTCATTTCATAATGAGTAAGAAACCAAGGATCAGTTTCTCTATGGGACTGATTCAAAACCAGCCACACTGTTTCAAAAATGAGAACCATGGAATGGGAAGCTAGGTCTTAGCTTGAAGGCCCTCCACTCTTTGGGAACAGCAAGGGGTGGGGGCATGGAGGTAACTAGTCTCCCTCTTAGATACTTCCTGGACCCATAATGCACATGGCTCATCCCAGAGAAACATTTGAGATAAATAAGTCCGCCTGGGTCCTTGCGTGGAGCTGCTAAAGAGACTTCACCAGGAGACAAGGATGTCAAGTGGAGAGGAAGGATTTTTTGAGTCATTATAAGCTCAGGCTGAGGCTCTGGAGAGAACAAGAGAGGAGGGTGCTGCTAAGCCCTACACAGGAAGAGGAGCAGCAAGAGCAGTGACAGAGGAGCATGACCCTGGGGCTCCGAGAAGCCCTTATCATGGTCAGGTGTACCAACCAATCTTTGCTGGATGGAGCCCAGGGGATATGAGACAGGAAGAGCCCCAATGCCTTGGAGTAGGACCTGACTTGCACCCTCTTTTGGAGCTAGCCTTCTCTCTCCCCCAGGTACTGAAAGGTAGAAACCCTAAGCCAATCTCATGTGTTTTTATGGTGGCAGGGCTATGGAACAGCAGGACCATGGGGCCTGAAAGCCTTTTTAGATATGATGAACGGGGAGGCTAAGTCCACCTGATCTGGATCCACACAGGGGCCAGGCATTTGGACCAGGCTGGGCAATGATCAAACGGTCCTCACTGATGCTCCCTTCCTAGATGGGACGATGGAACGAAAGTCTGGTGCAGGTGTGTGTGTGTGTGTGTGTGCACATATGCATTTGAAACGTGGGGGAGGCCTAGTTAATGAGACTGGCTTTAAACAGGTGAAATCTGAGTTTTCTGCTGTCAGGTAGAGTAAGACCTAGAGCTAGAAACTTCAAAAATAACAGCTACATTTATTTATATCCGAAAACATGTGGACTTTCTATTTATTCCTATTTGGCTCACTTCGTTTCAAAGGGTCAATTAAAGCATTTTTCAAATACAAATTCCAGTGTCACTAGGAAAAAGAAAAACACTGCCCTAAAAATAGAGCAGAGAATTAAAATAGAATTCGCGATGACTCCACCATGTGGGGAAGACGCATCAGTTCCAGTTCAGTTGCAGAGAGTCCCATGCTGGTGACATTTAGGTTTGTATGCCCAGCACCCTCACCCACATGTCCCCACCGGAGCATCTAACCCTCAATGTTGAATTCAGCGTGGGCAGGGAGGAGAAGGTTGTCCCTGTTCATGGACGGTCCCCTAACCAAGGCTCTGTAGAGCAGCGCAGCAGGGACTTAGAGAATTAAGAGACTCTATAGCCAGCTGTGGTAGGCCATGCTTAGAGTCCCAGTGCAGGGGAGGCTGAGATTGGAGGATTGCCTTGAGTCAAAGGCAACCTGAGCTAAAACATGGTAAGAACCTGTTTCAAAATAAAAACCAAAAATAAACAAAGAGGAAGAGGGGGAGGCAACCAGCATTATCATCATTGTTATCAGCAGCAGCACGGCTCACTGGCTCATTCCAGATACTCAAGCACTAAGTCCAGCATGAGCTTAAAAGCTCAATACCAGCCCAAGAAACTCGTAAGACTTTCCTTCAAAATGAGAAACACAGAGAGCTGGGACTGGAGCTCAGTGGTGGAACAATTGCCTAGTGTGTACGAAACCTTAGGTGTAATCTCCAGCAGGGCAAAAGAAAAGAAATGAAGAGAGAGCTCATGGCAGTTAGTACACATGTATGACCTCAGAAGGTTGGGGTAGGGGAATCACAGGATCTACTGGAAGCTGGTCTGGAGTAGTTTGGTCCTGTGTCAAAGACAAAGGGAGAGAAGGGGAGGAGGGATGGGGACAGAGGGGAGAAGAGGAAAAAGGAGTAAACACAGGAAGACAAGAAAAGGACAAAGTGGGGGGAAGAGAGAAGGAGGGAAGAAAGAGGGAAGGGAGAAAGAGATTGAAAGGAGGAAAAGATGAGGTGAGAAGCCCAAAGGCAATTTGATTCTTTTAAACTTGAGCTTGGGTATCTCTGACTTGCCCACTGAAGCCATGGAGACATGGCTTCCGCTCTCGGGTGTGAGGCATGGGATCAAGCAGGACAGAAAGGTTTCTAGCAAGCAAAGTGGCTGAGGGTGGGGTGGAAGTGGGAGCCGCAGTTTATGAACAAAGAACATGGGGTTCTTTGGAGCAAAAGTATGCTTGGGTTCAGGCAGAGCTCTGGTCCTGGCTCAGACTCCCACAAGGCATAAGCACAAGGGTGCGGGGTGTGAACTGCTAAGCACAAGGGTGCGGGGTGTGAACTGCTAAGCACAAGGGTGCGGGGTGTGAACTGCTAAGCACAAGGGTGCGGGATGTGAACTGTTAAGCACAAGGATGCAGGGTGTGAACTGTTAAGCACAAGGATGCAGGGTGTGAACTGTTAAGCACAAGGGTGTGGGGTGTGAACTGCTAAGCACAAGGATGCGGTGTGTGAACTGTTAAGCATTAGGGTGCAGGATGGCCTCCACGGTCTTCTCCCTGACGCTCTTCAGGAAGCTCAGCACTGCAGTTCCCCCAGTGCCCCTGTCCTCCAAGGCATGGGGTGAGGGATGGCTCGGCATCTTGCTCCTGGCCCTGGAAGCAGCGGAGATGATGTAACGTGCCACCACATTGATGTGGTAACTGCGCAGCTGCGCCAGCGCCTCCACACACTGGTTGTAGGCCATCAGGCAGCATCCAGCGCCAGAGGTCAGTACATAGTCCCTCAGCGAAGGAGCTGAGGTCAGTACATAGTCCCTCAGCGAAGGAGCTGAATGCAGGTCGTCCAGGAAGGCCTTATGGGAAGGTGGCATGTAGTCTCTCATTCTGTGCAGAAAGTCTACTGAAAGAAACAGCCCGGAGTAAAACCTTAACACAAGGCCAGCATTCAGGAGCCTTTGCCTGCTGTTCCAGATCCAGACACACTGGTACCAGAAGGGTTGGATAGGGTTCTCGTTCAGCCTAGTTGGTCTTTTGTTATAGCTTCCAAATACTCAAATGTGCATTTCTGGATGTTGACAAGAGATGCAGACAAGAAAAAGAAGCAAGCATCTCTCAGATAATAAAGTTGGACAGGAATTACAAGCTAGGGTGTACATATCCCAAACCAAACATGAATGACATGACATTTCCTGCTAAGGGTCATGAGGCACGTCTACACGCATGCACACAAACCCTTACACTGACTGCCGGAACACGGAACACCCTGGTGAATTCTGTTCCCTAGATGCTTCTTGTGGTGAAGGGTCGCACAGGTGGAACCAGCTACCAAGGGCATAGAGAAGACATTGGGAAACAGGAATCTCAGTAAAACCCAGAGAAGCCAAAATACTGAAAACTCAAGTGTTTACTAGAAAACTCATTACCCCCTTAGCTAATGTGACGTTTTGTTTGTTTGTTTGTTTCGGTTGTTGGTTTTTGCTGCTGTTGTTTTGCTTTTGTTTATAGAGTCAGTAACTAACGCCAAACATTGAAGTCCAGGAACAGCTCTGGCTATTCCAGAAAACAGTGCAGATGAGACAAGAGTGTTTCGATTTGGTCCTGATCCAAGTCAAAGTTTGGGAGCATGAAAAACCTTTTTGGCTTTTAAGGGTATTTCAGAGGCTTCAAATCGATGGACTCCCACTTCTGGCCCAGAGGGATTCAGCGGGAGGCTGGGCCATCTCATGGGAAGGGCACTAGAAGAGGTCAGACCCATCACTGGCTGCTGCAGACTGGGCCACACAAGGTCCTAACCTTTGAGCTTACAGACTAAGGACCCAAGCCCACATAACAGTGACCAGCCCAGGTGTTCACCGTTCCAAGACATTGTGTTAAGACTTGGAAATGAACCCAGGATCCTTCTGAAATCTGAAGCTCTGATATTGACTAACATGGGCACAACCGTCTGGTGGTTTAGGCAGGGACAAACTCCAGCACGTTGTTATTTACACCTAGTTTTATAAGTTGGTAAAGATGCCTCCCCGTTTTGCCTAATTCTCCCCCTGAGAGAGTATGTGAGACCGGATCATTGCTTACCACTTCCCTTGCAATGCTGAATGCCCAGGAACTCATCGAAGGCCTGAAGCACAGAACTCTGGGCTGCACTTCCTCCCGAGTACCTCAAAGGCTCTGTGGCCACACCCTCATAGACCAGCCCTTCAGACATGGCTGGGTTGTCCTTCCACCTAGGCAAAAGCCAAAAAAAAAAGAGTGTAGAGGGATGTTCCAGGGCACAGCATCTTCTCTGCAGTGAGCACTGAGCCAGCGAGGAAGTGGGCATGGCACCAACTGTGGTTTGAGGAAGGGAGAGCAAATCTCGCCAGTTCCCAGACTCCCCGCAGAACAGGACCTGACATGACACACTCAATTTGCGTTCCAAAGCTATGCATCTGGAGTCCTTTCCTTAAGAGCTTTGCCATCTAGATGTCTACCTTCATCAAGAAGGGTGAGTCCTCTTCTGCCAACCAACAAAGCATCTGGGTCACAGGGTAAGTAGCAGGTTTGTAGTGGTGTCTCTGTCATTCTAAGTCACTGTGTTCAGAGAAGGGGGACGCGTGGACCCCATATATTCAACAACTATGTACTGACTCCCCCCCCCCATGACATCCTGGACATTCTCCAGACTCTGCTCTGGGGTTGCAGACGCACCGAGGAGCCAGGTTGCCATATTTGGAGGCTGTTTGGGGTCAACTGTCCCATGAATCTCTATGGTTATCAGCTGGGGCAGCCACATTCAGGAAGGAGGCACAGCACAGAGGGCAGAAGGGAGGATACACAAGAACGGGAGGCAGAGGCATCCCACAGACTGTGGGACAGGGGCTGTATCCTGGGAAGATACAGAATTCAAGCTCAGCCTCGCTGTGTGAGCTGGTAGGCCTGGCTTATCACATTTAACCTCTCAGAGCCTTAGCTTCCTCACCTGAGTGGTATTAGTAGGAACTGAAGCTCCTGGGGGAGGCGTGCCTGAGTTAAAGATTCTAATTGACTAATTGAGTGGTCAAAGAGAGTTAGAAAATCCAGATTCAAATGACACTGGGCTATCTTTAACCCCCTCCTGTCTGACCCAGTATGTCTATGACTCTTTGGAATGTATTGACTCAGTAGAGAAAGAGTTTCTACCACCCCAAAGCTGAAAGTGCCATCATATGCCATCTGTGTGAGACCTATGTATGGCTCTTTCCTTGTCTTCCTCTAGGTCGCCGACCTGAGGTCCCCATCAATGTACCCACAAAATCCCTTGGTTGGTAACTTTCTTTGTCCTTTGTTCAAAAACTCTTCCGTTCATTTCCACGTTGGGCCATGTAATTCAGGGACATCTTGAATCTGTGTTTTTTGGCCACTAATGTTTGGCCAAAGAATAAACTAACTCTTAGTCCTTTGAAGTAAGAGCTGTGTTTTGCATTGACATTCATATTTATCTTGTTGGTCATTGTAAGAACTAACTCAAACACTATTTGCCTGGAATATATTAAACATCCAGTAAGCACCCGCCATTTACTGTCCTAGCAACCCCAGGGAGCGTGAATGCCTGCCACAGCTCTCATCGCTCAGCCACAATGGACAAGCCTTCCTGAGCCTCTCCCTAGTTTGTAGGGGAACCTGCTTCCTGTACCTGTTCTGGGAGTTAAACGGGCTTCAGAGAGGTCTGTGCACAATTGAAAGAATTTCAGGGCTAGTGCAATGGGAGAAGGACATTTTCTGAGCAAGAAACACTGCAGACATAGCTGCTGTGGGGATAATGAACCTAGTCCACACCAGCGCTTGTGCTGTGATCTGTGTGAAGAGCAGCCGCATGCACACACATGAGGACCCACAGGATGCATCCCCTCCAGCTCCTGCCTCATCTTCAAGATGATCGCCCCTCATTTCCCCTCAGCTGCTTCCCTTTGGGTTCACCACTGAACGCCTCCTTTCCAACCTTGTTCTCCACCGTCCTACCCCACTCGGCAGCTGAACTGACAACCCGAAGCCCCAGACACATCGCTAGTTATCCCCTAACTGTGCCCTGCCCATGCTGTCTGGCCTCCACCGTGATGTATCCTTCACCTTCCCTGGCACGTTTGACTCCGTTCTTCACGCCTGCTCTCTTCTCAAGGTCGTAGCCATGGTTCCCTTTGCTTGGAACAAGAATCCAAAAGGCCTGCTCCAGTGCCCAGGTATATGTACTCACACGTCACCTGGGATGTGGTATTTTTAGATCCCAATAAACAAGATACCTAGTAGTCTCTCCCTAGTACCCTACATCCTAATTGGCATTGCCCCATGTGGTAACACGCATTGTAGAATGTTTGCTTTGTTTAGGTTTGTCTACTTAGCATTTTCTCCCTGCCCTGAAATCCCCAGCTCCTCAAGGACCTTTGTTTTTCTTCTTCGCTGCTGTTTCCAGCACATACGACGCTGTCTGGAATGTGGGAAGCCCTCGCCGTGTGTTTATTTGATGAAATAAATGAATGAAAAATGAGCATTCCACCAGTCAGTCCTGAAGGGACTCTGGCCAGCTCGAGCACGGTGAGGCCCTGCCCCTCTCTCCCATTTCCTCTGCCTAAAAACCTTTAGATTACATTCCTGAAGCTAGCTAGCTCCCAAGTCCATTCCCTTATTTGGCCAATCCCTCTTCCTGAGTCTGACAACCAAGGCCCAGCTCTCGAAGTAGTGAAATGCAGCAATCAGAAGTCCCCTTTGTCTGGCTCACATAGCTAACTCATCCTAACACAGGGTCCCCCTTTACCTTTATAAACCTCCATTTGCCTATGTGCCAGACTGTCTCCTCTCTATCCAGAGGCAGCCCTTTGTCCCTTCAGGACGAATACCCCTGCCCCCTTCCCCTTGTTCCTCTACCCTTCTCCCTCATCCTCTATGCCCTCTGCCACCACCTCCTAGCCCATTCTAAGGCAGACCTCCCCTCTCTTCTCTAAAAACTACACTTGCAAGATCATTTGCTGCTGTTTTACTGCCTGGGTCAGAAAGCAGCCATTTTAACTTTTCCCCCTTGCTTAATAAAGGAACTCTCTGTAAAAACAGGTGTTTGGGCATGGTCTGTGCTTCATCGTGGTCTGGAAAGGAGCCCCCACTGTGCGGGAGTCCCCCTTCAAGTATGGTACCACCGGAAGACTCAAGCCAAGTTCTTGAAAGGGTCCAGCTAGCCTAAGGGAACTATCCAATATGGCGGAGGCCAAGAACACATCAGGAAGGGTCCCTCCAGCACACACTGGAGTGGCTTTGTTTTAGCCAGCCATGCTGAAGCTGATGCAGGAACCTGCAGCACAAAGGGCAGATGACAGGGGACGTGGGTCTGCTTTCACACTCCACGGCTATGTGAGACAGTCTCTGTGAGCAGCTCTCCCAGGCGCTCCCAGGCTGGGCTGCTGTTTGGGAAGGGATGGGGCCATGTTCATTTCCGGTCTCTATGGTAAGGTTATTTGTAGCCTTGCTGGCATTATTTCTAGTGATTTCAAGGAAAAGGGAAGTCAAAAGAGACAGCAAAAATGAGGTGACATTTTCCCCCAGAGGAGTTCCTGGCCTTTCTGGGCTGGGAACTGAAGGGATCACATCTCGTTTCCACATGAAATCCTCTCCTAATTTTTTTTAAATGTGTTTTAAGAAGCAAATGAGACACCAAAGACCCAAAGCAAGGCAGATGCAGAGTGGAGAAACTGACATTTTAAAGACAAGTCTATTGTAAATTCTCAACACTCTGGATGCTTTTTGAAACTATAGCTACACTCTAGGATTTGGTCCAGCCTCTTAGCCACCCAGGAAACAGTCTCATGAAGAGAAACCGAGGACAGGCTTTATGCATACACCAGATAAAAAAGTGCCATTACCCTGCACTTATTTTGATGAAAACCAAGCTACCTTCTGGTTCCTATCACGCTCTGAGAAAACAGGAAGCAGAATGTATTCCTTTGAAAGACACTGGTGCATAGGACTCTAAAATTAGTTCCCCAAGATTTCCAACTGAATTCTTAGGACACTTAATACTATGAGATGTTCCCATCAGTGTAATCTATTAGATGGCAAGGCGGAAGGACCATTCAGATGCAACTAAGGCTCCTGATCAATTTAACCTAATGTGGGAATTTCCCTGACTCATCCCTGGTGGTCAAAGGAGAAGTCAGAAAAAATGTGTAGTTCTAGAAAAACTCCAAGGACCGCCACTGTGTCAGAAACCACAATTGGTGGAGGTGGTGGGGCAACATAGGAGGCTTCTAGCAGTCTAGCTATCATTTCTACACACACACACACACACACACACACACACACACACACACACACACCAAAGCAAAACCTAATCTGCTAGCACTGAGTTGGGAAGCAAGTTTGTGTTCATATTCTCAGCTAAAGCCACCTGGTCCAGGCATATTGGTGTATGTATACCCATAACCACAGAGCAAGGGAGGCTGAGCAAAGAAATCCCAAGTTCAAGACCAGCTTGGGCTACATTGTGAAATTTTGTCTCAATAACCTCATGGTTAGGGAGTCCAGCCCTCCCACCAATAATCTTGATTTCAACCTCTAGAGGCTATAACAGAAATCACCCTGAGCTTGCCTGCACTTTGGGCCCACAGAACTGAGGAAACAGCCAGGTGTTTAAGGCTGCTGAACACGTGGAAGTATTCTACAGAGAGCTGACAGGGGCTTCAGAGTAGAGAACCACTTAGGGAGGTCCGGCTCACTGACTAGTCTAGTATACGCCTGCTATAGGGTCTCATATAAAGGAGACAGAGGGAGGCAGAAAGAGAGATAAGGAATCACATAGCTATAAAATAAAACAAGAGTACCCAGGATCAGTAAAGCAAGGCCTAGCAAGGGTCTTGGACTATTCCTGCCACCACACAGCAAAACAATGAGACTGTATTCCCCACTGCTCTGAAGGCCAGGCAGTCTAAGAGCAAGGCAGAGACAGTTCAGTCAGGTAAAGATCTGGACCCTGGTTTCTAGATGGGTCCCTGGATGCTATGACCTCATGAGGTCAAAGGGCAAAGGAGAAAAATTTGACAATTACTTTCCAGGCTTCCTCTCCACTCTCCCTCTCCTCCTCCTCTTCCCCTCCACACCCCTCTCCCCACTTCTATCTCTTTTCTTTTCTTTTTTTTTTTCCCCCTGGTCGTCAAGTTAGGCTTCTAAGAGATCCATGGTTCTGGTCCAGTGGCTAAGGACAATTCCTTTGCACTTAGGTACCCTTCTTCCTTCTGATGGTGTAGGGAGGGTCTGTCCTCCTAGAGTGGACCCAGGTAGTGACTTTGCCAGCTTTGGTCGCTTGCTGTATTTCTTATTTTAGAAATCTCCTGTCTGTCCACCCTCACACAAACTTGGGAAACCGTACCGAGGTCTCAGGCAGGAAACCGATGGCACTGTACTTACCCAGAGAGGAAGATCCGGATGACCGTGTAAAATATGTCTGGGTCTACATAATCTGGAACACAATCAAACATGAACTTTACCAGAGGCAAAAAAACAATTGGCCACATGTGCCTGAACCCCACTGCTTTCCTGGGGCTCCCCCACCCCTATCTGATCTATGCAGAGCCCAGAATGGAAGCAGCGAGCACAGATGGAATGCTTGCTTGCAGAGGGCACAGGCTGTTAATCCATTCCGTGTGCTAGCCTCCTCTGCTTGGGGTACTTCTATTTTCTGCTCCTCACCACCGCCAGCAAGAGATTAAGGCCATCCTTTGAAAACACAATGTAGTAAGTAGACACGATGTGCAAGACTATGATAAGCTGAGGAGAGGAAAGCAGAGAGCGGGGACCACCCCCCTTTCTACAGGAGAGGCAGAGCAAATGACCAGCGTCTAGAAGTTTCTGTGTCAGCTGAGGGTTTCTCAGGGAGTTGTCACCACAGGTCCACAGGGCTCAGTTAGCTCCAAGCCTCATTGGCCAGCATGGACAGCCATGCTTGAGGGAGGATCGATTCCACTCTGTATGGACTCCCACCAAAGGAAGTGTGCCATTGTGGCTCTATTAATTCCAAACGTCTTTGGTCTGCTTTGAAAAGCTGGTTTTGCGACATTACTGAGGTCCTATGCCTTCTGGAGACTAGCCCACATTTATCTCACCCAGACTAATGCTTAGGTTTCTTGGTTTCTGAGAGAAAAAGAAACACCTTTTGATAAGGCTTAACTAATATACACCCTTCCCATTCCCTTCCCTTCCCTCGTATCACACATGGAGTCCAGTTCTTTGTCTCTTCTCTCTGTCTACTTTCTCTGAAGCTGGCAAGACTTGAGATGTCAAGGCCTCAATGCTTTAAGACACTTATCAGTGTGGCCATACCCTCTCTTCTCAAGGTGACTATGTCCCATATGCTAGATGTTTTCTAGGACCTCTCCTGGATATTGGTGCTCTCTCACCCGTATTGTTAAATATTATAAACAGCTCTTTGCAAAAGGAGTAACACTGTGTACTAAATTGCTATTTGACACAAATTACTGTATTAACGGTAAAGCCAAGCCATCCTTGTGATAGATACAGCAGAATTTACATGAAAATGTTAAATACATTCAGTGGATATTTTAAAAGAGACTCATGAGAGAAGGATCAATGCTTCCATTTGGTACTGTATTAGAGCTCCTAGCCAGAAGAAAGAAATAAAAGTTGTAAGAATTAATGAGGAATGGATAGAAAAGGTAAGACATCCCATGATGAAACCACATTTAAGCAATATCTGTCTTCACACACAGCTCTACTAAAGGCATTAGAAGGAAAACTCCAGCCTAAAAAGGTTAACCACACCCAAGAAAACACAAGGAGTAAATAATCCCAGACTAGCAATCAAAAGAGGGGAAACACACATGTGTGTGCACGCACACACACAACACACACATACACATACCATCACCACCACCACAACAACAAACTAACAGAAATCAAACACGGCTTATTGATTACTGTCACAACTAAAGGCCTCAATTCCCCAGTAAGAAGATACAGACTGATTGAATGGATGCAAAAACAGGATCCATTCTTCTGCTGCCTCCAAGAAACATACTTTAACATCAAGGAGAGCCATCACCTAAGGATAAAAGGGTAGAGAAAGATATTCTTACAAAATGCACCTAAGAAGGAAGCTGGTGTGGCCATTTTAATATCTGACAAAATAGACTTCAAACCAAAACTAATCAGAAGAGGTGGGAAGGACACTAGATATGCAAAAGAAAAAAATCTACCATGAGGAAATTGCAATTCTTAACATCTATGTGCTGAACACAGGACACCAAAGTTTATAAAAGAAACGCTGTTACAGCTAAAATCACATATTGATCTACCTCAAGGGCCAACTGTATATACACTCTTGGGCCTATACCCAAAGAACACTTCATCCTACCGCAAGGACACTTGCTCAACCATGCTTACTGCTGCTCTATTCATAATATCCTGAAATTGAGAACAACCCAGATGTCCCTCAACAGATGAATGAATGAGGAAAACATGGTGCATTTCTGCAATGGAATATTACTCAGCTGCTAAAAAAAAAAAAAAACCCAAAACCATGAAATTCACAAGTAAAAATCATCCTGAGTGGGGTAACCCAGACCCAGAAAGATAAATATAGTATGAATTCACTTATATGTGGATATTAGTTGACAAGTCAATAGTAACCAAGCTATGACTGGCTGAAGCACAGAGGTTAGGTATAGTCCAGGGAAGTAAATAGACTAGTTACAGGTGGATGGGTGAAGAGGACTAGACTAGGAGAATCAAGTGGGGATGGGAGGGAAAAGGAGGGCGGGGGAGGGAAGACAGAGAGAGACAGTTAAAATTAAGGGTCATTGAGAGAGAGTTTAGAAGCCTAATACAATAGAAGTTTCCTAAATTACAGACATATNTATATAGACAATCTAAAGGAAATCACCAAATAATGGGGGACACAGAGCCCCAAGTGGACATCTCTTTTCATCAAATCCTGTACTGGGATTGGGTTACATCTAATTGATTGTTGGCCAAGGGGGTCCCATGGGAGCCCCCAAACAACCCATGTTGTTGCCAAGACTACAGTCTGCTCTCCACAAACTGACAAGCCGCTATTGCTGAGTGAGCATGGAGAAGTCAAGCTGGTGCCTACATAGAGCCTTCACCCCTTGTGTGCCAGCATCTTTTGTGCAGGAAGGTACTCTGCAGGCTTCCAAAGGAGAACCATAAACAGGCCAGTCACAAACCCATCCCCTGATCTACACTGTGTCCTGCCTGCAAAATATGCAACGGCAATCGCAGCACAAAGCTTGTGGCACAATTAACCAGTATCTGATACTTAAGGCCCACCCCACAAAATGGAACCCATACCCAACACTGCTTGGGTGACCAAAAGCCTGAAACTAGATAGCCCAGGGACCTAGGGAGAAACCAAATAATATTGGTCTAGAAAATAAAAACAACAACATCAACAAAAACCCTCAGCAATAAATGGACTACTAATGGCATGCTGCTGTACTCAAAGACCAGTGCCTTGCCCATCTATCATTAGAGAGGCTTCCTCCTGCAGTAGACAGGAACAAATACAGAGACCCACGGCAGACATTATGCGAAGAGTGACAGACCATGGAACATTCAGCCTTGAATGGATTTTGATGTCTCCATCAAATGCTTCCTCTCAGGACTCAGGATACCCCATGGAAGAAGGGGCAGAAAGAGTGTAAGAGCCAGGGAGCACGGAGGACACCAAGGAAAGCAGTCTTCTAACTCAACTGGATTAACGCACACGGACTCACATAGACTGAGGCTGTGTGCACAGGACCTGCAGGGGTCTACACAAGATGGGGTCCTAGAAAGGAGGAGTGGACACATGCCCCCCGTCCCTAATCCAAAACCTATCTCTAGCCGATAACCACTCATAAATGAAAACTCAGCTTTCTCTGAGGGGGTTGCCCTGGGGAAACAAACCGCTCTTAAGGATAGGCTGCGATTCCCGTAGTAGACGGCCAACAGAAAACAGACTCGGGGCATCTTTGGAGGCTCATTGCCTCATAATGCCATGTCAGAACTTTTCTCTTTTTTTTTTTAAAGTTTATATTATTTTTTATTTTAGTTTTACCTTACCTATTGCCTTAGGTACGGTCTCTATTGCTGTGATAAGACACTGTGACCGGAGCAGCTTGGAGAGGAGACAGTTTGTTCGGCTTATGCCTCCACATCACAGCACTGCTCCTCATCAGGACAGGAAGTCCAATATTGCAGAATCCTGGAGGCCTCAGGCGATGCAGAGGCCATCGAGGGGTGCTGCTGACTGGCCTGCTTTCTTATAGAACCCAGGGCCATCCACTAAGGGATGGCACCACCATCAATCACTAATTAAGAAAATGCCCTACAGGTTTGCCTCCAGCTCAATTTTATGGAGGGATTTTTCTCAATTGACCTGTGACCCAGAAGTATAAGGCAAATAACCTTCTTCCTCCCCAAGTTGCTCTTGAATTTGGGTCTTCTGAGAGCCAGAGAAAGCAAAACAGAATGGAGCTATAGATATACATATAATATACATATACATATATATCTATAGATATAGGGGTGTGTGTGTGTGTGTGTGTGTGTGTGTGTGTGTGTGAACAGAGGGTTGGTTGTGAATACAGGGCATATCAAAGCTAGCCAAATCAGAGAGAACTGTGGAAGCCGGGCATGAGGGAGAAACACTGGGTAAGCACCTACCGAGCGTGCTCAAGGGCCTGCATTCCATCCCCAGTAATGCAGAAAACAAAACCAAACCTCCAGCTGGCATGTTTTTAGGTAGTTTGATCCAGTACACCCCTTAGAAGTCGTCTGTTAAGATTAAAAACTCCTCAGCGCATGGAGAGCTGCCTTGGGTGTGTGTATTGTTATCCTTGCTGTAACCCCGACGAAAGCAGCCTGGGAGGGAAAGGGGTTATTTCATCATATAGCTTATATTCCGTTACAGAGGAAGGTCAGAGCAGGAACCTGGAGGCAGGAACTGAAGCAGAAGCCACGGAGAAAATGCTGCCTACTGGCTCGTTCCTTCTGGCCCGCTCAGCCTGTTTTCTTACAGCAGCCAGGCACGCCCACATCAACCATTAATCAAGAACATTCCCCACAGGCTTGTCTGCAGGCCATCTGAGGGAGGCATCTTTCTCAGATGAGGGTCCTCATCTCAGATGAACCTAGCTTGAGTCATATTGACAAAAAAAAATTACCCACAACAGTGGGTATACGTTTTCCTACCTAATGCTGTTTAAACATGATCAAAGTAGAATTAAGTCAATGAAACTGGATTTAAGGAAGCATTTAATAGTTTGGGTACGTGCAGGCTAAGTAATCAACCCACCAGTGAAGGCGAACTTTAGAAACAGAAACACAAGATTTATCAGATTTAAACTAACAGGGAATTTCCATGTGATAATTTTCCAAATGGATTTGGAAAAAGAAATGTTTACAAACTAAAACTCAAAAGTTCTTTGACAAAATTAGATGATCAAATCGGAAGAGTCTAACAGCAAAGGCTCACAGTAGGGGCCCCACCTGTCTCCCTCCTCAGGGGACATCATCCAGCACTTTCTCAGAGGGGACATTTGATTGCTCGCTCCCATTAAAGGAGACGTTCTACCTATGTGTGTGCATGCCTGTGTGCAAATGTATGCATAATGTAGGAGGTCAGAGGTCAATGTTGGGTATCACCCCCAGCCCACCTCCTTTGAGACAGAGTACATTGAGAGTCTGAAGTGTGATTAATAAAAGCTCAGGGTCAGAAATTGAAGTTCAACCTAAAGATCTGAAAAGCAAAACAGCTCTTACCTCAGCCTCAGTCTGAAATTTTGATCCTGCCTCCTGAATCTCAGTGTGTGTTGAGAGCTGTTTCCTCCCCTTTTATAATCCTCCCCGGGGCTGGGATTAAAGGCGTACACCACCGTGATTAAAGGTATGCACCATCTGGTTTCTTTGGCAACTAGTGTGGCTGCTGGGATTAAAGGTGTTTGTTACCATAATCTGGTCTGTAAGGCTGGCCAATGGTTCTGTTCTACTCTCAGATCTTCAGGCAGTCTTTATTTATTAAAATACAATTGAAATGCCACTATAGGAGTGCAGCTCACGGATTCTACTACACTGGCTGCCGTGAGCGCCAGGATCCTCCTGTCCCCCTCCCCAGCTCTAGGATCATAAGCATGAACCCCTCTCCCAGTTGTTTGCTCAAGTCCTGGGGATGGTTCTATCTTAGTTAGGTTTCTATTGCTGTGAAGAGACATCATGACCTTGACAACTCTTATCAAGGAAAAACATTTAATTGGGGAGCTTACAGTTTCAGAGGTTTAGTCCGTTATCATTGATATGGTGGCATGCAGGCAGACGTGGTGCTGGAGAAGGAACTCAGAGTCCTTCATCTTGACTGGCAGGCAACAGGAAGTGGTCTGAAGCCCTGGGCATGGCTTGAGCATCTATGAGACCTCAAAGCTCACCCCACAGTGACACACTTCCTCCAACAAGGTCACACCTACTCCAACAAAGTCACATCTCCTAATAGTGACACTCATGAGTTTTGGGGGCCCGTTACATTCAAACTACCCCAGAGATTCAACTCCTCATGTTACACAGCTGGGGCTTTACATCTGAGCAATTTCCTCAGCGCCTAATAGAAAAAATTGTCAAGTGAGTCAGGCTGAAGCCAGACCTTCTGGTAAAACCGAAGGAAAAAAGGGAAATAAATAAATATTTTCTGGAGAAAAATACACAGCTCGAATTTTCTAAGGAAGCGTTGATTCTCAGGGGCATGACCTACTAGCTAGCTTCAGAATCATGCTTGGAAGTGATTTAAAGACTTGAAACCCCAAAAATATTTTGGCTATCCAACAGGCCCCCAAATTCCCACCCAGGTGGGTCGCATAGGTAAGACAGCCCTCCAAAGACAGTCACACAGGTTCACAGTGCTTAAATGAAGCGGGTGATGACAGGTTGAGACGCCTATGGCTAACATGTTCAGAACTCTGGTGGCCTTACGGGGAGTTTGACTATGAAAACAGTGGTCTAATTTTATTGTTTCAGCTGTTTGTGAGCACTGTGGATAACAGCTGTGTTAAGCTGGGCAAAGGCCTGGGGACTTGGCTTGTAGTGAAGTGGGGCCTCTGATGTCCACAAAAGGCATTTTTACCATACCTGCATGCCTGGGGGGAGGGGGAGTAAACCCAGAATGCTTGCTGAAGTTGGGCTCTGAGAAGAGTTGGATTGTCTGGTAGACTCTATTTGGGGGGCTGAAAGAAGAGGGGATCTACCCAGCTAAGTTATCCATATCACACACGAAAATTAGCAACTACAGATGATGCGCTGCCCAGGGGATGGGCACGCACCCCTGCCTGTGCCTCCCAGCCTTTGTTCTTATTAATAGCATCTCTCTATTGTGGCACGGCCAGCCAGTCCCATCCCAGTGACACTGAGTGCCAAGGTATCTGCAGAGGGCAAGGGAGTGGTGGCCTGTTTCTGTCCCACAGTGGGCTCAGCATGGAAGACTCCTCTGAAGGCCCATTCAGTCCTTAGCCGTGTGTCAGCCTCCTTGTGTGACTTGCCATTGTCACTCAGCTTGGTGGTACCAGGATTCTTGTGTTCCCCATGGTGTCTCAGCACTCAAGATGGGAACTCGCAGGCCATTTCTGGGTTCGATGTTCTCATTACTGCTGTTTTGGTTGGAAGAATGTCAGAGGCAGGGGTACATCCTCCATCCTGACATGAGAGGAGTGTCTGGCCACACTGTGAGGGGCTCATGGGGTGTCATGGGGGATGCTATTGTCGTCTTTGGAGAAGTGTGGACCCGGGTTCCCTTCCTTCCTCCATGTATGTAGAGACCTTGAAAATCCCATTGCATTAGGAAATTCGTCTTGGGATCAAACAGAGCCGAAGGGAAGGGGTCCATCTGGGAGCTCTCCAGGTCCTCAGACCTCCTGCAGAGGATCATGAAGGTCCTTCTGGGCCTGTAACATGCTCAAAAAAACAGTTCTGAGAAGGCTGGGATTAGACACTACAGTGCATCTCTGGAGCACACAGTGTGAGTGACTCACTGGAGAGTCTCAGAACCTTTGCTAAGTTCAACTTGGGACTGGGGGGGGGGCATCTTGGCAAAGCTGCAATGTATGTCACTAACTGGGGAGCACTTTGGGGACCAAATAATTTGTCCATGAGAGCTTTAAGATCGGATCCAAGGAACTGGGAAGTGGACAGGAAGTGTGTGATCCTGTGGCCTCCAGGGTGACAACGCAGAGCCTGGGATGACCCCATTTATTTATACTTTTCTTTCCCACCCTGTGCCCTGTCGACTGGATTGTTCCTCTCATGAAGTCAAGACTCGGGGGAAAGGGTGTTTTACTCTGTTTCTCACACAAAGGGACCTCACACGCCTCCCTCGAATCTGCCTTAAACACCCAGCAAGCACAATTGATAGATTTCTGTGTTCAAGAAGATTGAAAGAGCCAGCCAGATGGTTTGCACCTCAAAACGGAGTCGTCCATCAGGGAAGGGTTGTCATTTACGCCTTCCTTTGGCAGCTTCTGCGAGCACTGGCCACAGAAGACTAAAGGAAGGCTCAGGTGTCTCAGGACCCACAGAGAGGAAAAGCCAATGAATCTGGAGGACTTGTGGACACCTCCACTGGACAGCCCTGTGCCCTGTGCCCTGCGCCCTGCATCCTAACCAGAGAGACTGAAGCACAACCAACCAATATTCTCCTTGTAACCCCATCCAATCTCCCAGGCTTCTGCATAAGCTCAGCATACCAAAGACATATCTGAACCCCGAAGAAGGCAAACAACCCCACTCACAGGAAAATATACAGAACAATTCTGCAAAAAATGTTTCTACCGCCTGAAAAATCATTCTCTGGTTGACTAGCGCCATCTTGTGGAAAGCTGTACCATCATCACTTAGGGCCCCGCCCAAGTCCAGGCCGCTGGAGGCTCCACCCAAGCTTCTTACCGTGCATTTGGGCCAAGGCTTTGGTCATGTCCTGGATGGAGAGTCTCAGCTGCTGCAGGGCCTGGAGCAGGGTGTCCTGGTTGTGTTGCAGAAGAGCCTCCACTCCCCGAACCAGGGCCTAGGAATGAGATCCATTTTCTCAGTTCACGACTTTCCCTTAAAGTCCAAGGAGTAGGCAATCCCAGGGCAGCGGCCCACACTTCTGACACACCTCTGGAGCCTAAGTCTGGACATCAGGGCCCTCAATGCTAGTATTTCCTCACTCGCTTTGGATTTCCCATGTCATGGTCATTCCTAATCCGGCCTCCCCAGCCGGGACATCCTCCCCACAGATCTGTGTGACATCAGACAGGTTTCTGAAGACTTCCCAGTTCCACAGCTCTGTCGGCCCAGATGCCCTCCTTGTCTTAGACTGACCTCAGCTAAACCGATGGACTAGCATCAGCTGCTGAATCTCCCAGGGGACCCGTGGGCGAGACAAAGGGATGAGGACGGAAGTGGCCACAGGATTTCACTACCGTGTGGGCATGTGGCTGGAACCTGGGACTAAGTTCCTGCTTGACCATGGAGCTACACCCCTGGCCCTGACTTTCACTTTTGAGAGTGAAAGATTCTGCAGTAATTATGCCCTGACTGGACACTCTATTGAACAGCAGGCATCCAATAAAACCATAAACCACCCTAATCTAGAGATAAAGGTGAGATATGAAAGCTCCCGTCTAGCAGGGAAAGTTCCTTGCTAGAACCCAATGGCACCTGAACGGGGCAAAAAATGAATTTTGCAGCCCCCAGGGCTGAATCACCTGGGTGACTGCAATGATGCCTGCGCTCTGGAAGAGGTCATTTCTTCTGCACATTTACAGAGTTACTCTCCTGTAAGAAATTCACACACACACACACACACACACACACACACACGCCCTCATATCTTACCTCAGCTGCCATTTCTGTGGGGAAGTTTGCCTGACCCTTCAAGCATGCATTACTTTCACCTTCTCCTCACAGAACAGCCTTTTTCTTTCTAGCCTCTGTGACTCCAGCTGCTGCAGGACCAGGAACTGTGACAGCCAGCTCAGCGGGTGTCCGCACACCCTGCTCGCGGTGCCTGTGTGTCGACGGAGGACTGGTTTGCTTCGTGCTACAGGGACGCTGACACCAAGATCCCTTCCTTTGTGTTTGACCAAGTAGGAGAAGGCCTGTGTCTTTTCCTCGTGGAGGAAACCACCTCGGGGAGAGGACAGTGCTTGGCTGAAGGTGAGAGACTGTGGAGCGAGAGGATTACCTTAATGCCAGGCGCGGCTGCCTTCTCCACCAAAACGGTCACCAGTACGAAAGCCTGCAGGCTCTCTCCCCCCGGAAAAGAGACGATGGTTTCCAGGTTACTGGAAGAAAGAGGCCACCAGGAAGGAAGGAGACCATGTCAGTTAGAGCCAAGCTCCCCTGACCTGAAGTCTCTGGGTGTTTACCGTGGCCTTGATGATCCTTGACCTTTGCCCCAGTGAAAGAGTCATGGGAACCAACCATGTTGGGCAGTTTTTAGCAAGAGGTTTCTGGTCCTTCAGGATTCTTGTCTTAAGGCTAAGGGGTCTTGGAGCTAAAGGTACTGAAACCAACTGTGGTTCAGGGGAGTAAGGCAGCTTATCTTATCTAGAGGTATATAAATGATTATTTGTGGCCAGATTCAGAATAGTTTAAGAACTTAACCTAGTCCGCTCCCCCTTTTGGTGAGGCGGGGTCTTACCATATTTCATATTGTCCTCCAACTCACGATCCTCCTGCCCCTGCCTGGCAGATGTGAAGACTATGGTTGCGTGCCTCTGAGCCTGGCTCGAGTTCTAACCAAGCAGGAGATGCTGCCACAGAACGGGGCTGGAAGACTCTCAAGAGGGGCCGTCTCTACTCAACCTGACATCTGACCATCGGATTCCTATCTAACCCGATCTACAAAACCCAAAGAAGTCGCTCCGGGCAGCTGCTTCATCTCCAGCAAATATGAGCGAAACCAAGACTCGAACCCCAAAAACAGCAAAGCAGATGGGGGTCACGCATTGCCATTGGTTCAGCATAGGTATGTCAGCTTGGGAATGATGTCTTCACCTCCCACCTGTACCCTTCACAGAGTTGAAGGGGCCGCACACGCAGTGCAAGAGTGGCTTCCCTGCTGGCTTTGCTGCCCAGACCAGACCTGCCCTCAAGGGCTCCAGTCCACCGGATGGCAAGGGCTTTCAAGGGGACTTTCCTATCACTGATGTCTGCTTGCATCTGGCCTTTCACAAACAGGGTACACAGATGAGAAAGCCCTGTGAGACCGTTAGGCTCCGCCACAGACTCATAATTTGCTGTTTTCTTATACTGCACTTTTTATTGTAGACATATGGTTATGAAAAATTAATCCCTTTACCCCTACAAGGTAGCCTTCCTCAGAGCTAATGCTCGGACTACTGAGTTTTTAGCATATTTCTTTGCCTTTTCATGAGTTCTTTCATGATGCTGTGCTGTCCACAGAGCATGCCACGCCTCCCCTGTTGTTTCCTCAAAAGCCTTGAAAGGCGGCAGTGGTTCTAAAGAGACAGCTTACCTGATTTCCCATGGTCTGATCACATTCCGGTTATCGGCAATGACAAAGAGAACAAGAAAAGAACAACTCGGTTGGTGACCAGAAATAATTCTTTGGAGTCCCCGGTACCCAGGCTCACACCCTCATTGGCAATGCCCATGCATACGTACTCATCGGGCACACCTAGGACACCACGGGTTGTGATTGGACAAAGAGCCACTGAGTGACAGCGCGAACAGGACCTCAGCTCTTGGTGCCAGTGCCCTGTGTCTGCGCAGGCGCGCACTCATTCTTGCCGCTCTTTAGCTGGCCCTCGCCACAGCCCCACGTTAGTTACTCCGATCCTACCCACCTGTTAGATCAGCTTCTGCCCCCTCGCCTAGCTTTCCCCACTGCTCTCCTGGAATTCCAGAGATCCTGTTTGTGTTGCCGCTTTGGCCCGATATTGAATTGCGTCGGGAGTGTTTCGCTTCCCTTTCTTTCATTTCTGCAAAGCCCTAAGCTCTGTGTAGACATCTTAGAAGATGTCAGGAATACGTTCACCTATAAGGACGACTGGGGAGCCCTGGTCCTGCACCTCACTTGCTGGGACGCTAACTTCTCGTGGTTGCTTTTGACCTTCTCAGCCCAGAGCAGACACATCCCCCTTTCAACTTTCTTCTTCCTTTTCCCTTGAATCATAAATCCAGCTCAGTCAACACAATGCGGTCACCACAATAATCCATGTCCATAATATTTATTATCTCACTCATTTCAATTGACTAATCCTAGGCTAGGTTTGATAGCTTTCAATGCATACCAGTTTTTTATTACTGTAGACTTGGTCAAAGATCAAGCCATGGCTACCTATAACCATCATGCCAAGAAAGATCTCTCTCTATCCAGCTCAGCTTCTCCTTTGTGGTTTTAATTTACCACAAAAGTAAACGCTGCCTTGTGTTTACAAGCTGAAATAAATTTTACTATGAAAATGAAGTTTCCACGGATTTGTTTGCTTGTTTAAAAGTTAGAAGACAAACGCTTCTAGGCCCAACTCAGCTGTGAAGTGGAGCAAACTAGGTGGAATCAATGGCATCCATCAGATTCCCACACACCTAGAATCATTCGTTCATAACCAGATTGATCACTCCTGGACTCCCAATTCTGACCTGACTTGAATGGAGGGCAGAGGAGGGATACACCATGTGCTGAGAAAAGAAAGAAAGAAAGGAGAGAGAGAGAGAGAGAGAGAGAGAGAGAGAGAGAGAGAGAGAGAGAGAGNGAGAGAGAGAGGAGGGAGGGAAGGAGGGAAGGAGGGAGGGAGGGAGGGAGGGAGGGAGGAAAGAAGGAAAGAAAGAAAACAACAACAACCAAAAATCCCAGCACAGTGTGTTTACACAGGAGGCTGAACTTCAGAAATCCAGGTGTGAAGTAGAAGCAACAGGAAAAAAGCATCTGAGGCCAATGTGTTTAGAGCCCACAAAGAAGAAACATCTGCAGTTTAAGTGTATCCACTCTTTCATGGAGCCGTAGAGCAAAGGATGAGTGTGAACACACAGCTCACTATAAAGCAGTCCTAAGCCCGTGAGCCTTTTTATCTGCGGACAGCTGAAGTTCCAGGTCCTCCCAATCCTGAATCTCAGTCCATTGGTGTCTGATGAACCTTTCCCTCCTTACCCTTCTGGGTTCCTTTTGGTCCAGTTTGTCAGCACTAGGTCAGAGTGGACCAGGATGGGAGGGAGCCCCAACTTCCTGGAGACTTCAACAAAAGGAATGGCAAGAGTTCTTGGCAGCACCTTCAGGACAGGAATGCAGACAATCTGTATATTCTATTGGCAGAGGAAGTCACCACGGTTGCCTGTGATAAGCAACCTGGGGACCAATGAGTTCCCTGAGTATTCCACATCTGGACCCTACAGACTTCCTGGGAGAGACCCAGTGGGAATACTGTCTATGAGAACACATGGCAAGAGATGCAAAATTCAGAATTGGAGCATATGTACACACAACGCACAGAACCTCTGAAGACTATATAAAGTAAAGCATCACCAAAACGTTTAGTTAGAGACCTAAGAACTAGCAATGTAAATTGATCTTTATATAGATGATAGATTATAATATATATGATAGATAAATAGATATGTGATAGATAGATAGATAGATAGATAGATAGATAGATAGATAGATAGATAGATGATAGATAGATAGATGATAGATAGATAGATGGTAGATATGCAGACATACAGATAGATACAGGCATTGATGCCTACGATACAGAAATGGAAATAGAAATGTAGATGTAGGGTGTGAAAGAGAAACTGATACAGAATAAGAGACAGAGAGACAGAGACAGACAGACAGATATGGACAGAGAAACAGAGATGGGTGAATGTAGGCTCATTCACGCCAAGTTGAACGTGCAGAAGTCAGTGGACAACTTCAAGTGCCGACCCTCACCTTCCAGCTGGTGTGAGACCCAGTGGTCTCTTGTTTACTATTGCCATGCCAGTTTTCACGTAGGATCTGGGGACCAAAGCGCCAGTGTCAGGCCTGCTTGGAAGTCATTTACCCACTCAGCGGCTCCCCAGCCTGGGGCCAAGGACAATTTACAGCCCTGCATCTGCCGTTCTTCCTTTCTCAGAGCTGGGAGAGAGGTGTGTTGTAGGAAGGGAACCATTGCGGAGTTTGCAGAGCGTGGAACTCAGTGGCAAGCTTCTGCAGGATGTGAGGGCTGGGGAGGACGGGAAGAAGTGAAGTGGTCCCTCATTTGGGGGATCAGGGAAGACTTACAAAATATAGGTAAGGGTCATGAGACTGGGGTGGCCTTGGGGGCTGGATGTTGCTTCCCTCACCCCTTCTCGAGCCCCCCTCCTGATTCAGGGGGACAGTTTAGGGAGCATATGGCAAAGGAACTCATTACGATGTCACTAGCCTAAGTTTTCAAGTCTTCAACACTGGACATTAGACACTAGAGCTCTGAAGATGAGGGGCAATATTCTGCCGTGTTGGAATCAAGAGGAGCTGCCCTTTCCTCCCAGGCTCTCTTGTTTCCTTGTGGGACAAGAGACGTGATGAGCCTGGCAAAGCATTGCTCAGGCTTCTCACACAACGGGGCTGTCCTGGAATAAGAGTAACACCTTGATTTCTGGGAAAGAGAAACTGAGGAAAGGGGAAGAGGAAATAACTGGCGCTCCTGTTGAATGGTGAAGTACTAACTCAGCACGCAGAGGCCCTGGATTCTATCCCAGCACTGTCAGCCAGAACAAACAATACAAAGGAGGGGCTCGATACTGGACAGGGTGGCGCGTGCCTGTAAGCCCAACACTTGGTGGTGAGGCAAGGGGATCATGAATTTGAGAACAACTTAGAAAGTCCTAAGACTAGGACTTGGACTACTTTGTAAGACCCTGACTCAAAAAAAATGGTTAAATAAAATTAATAGACTTTTAGAAAGGAAGGAAGGAAAGGAAGGAAGGAAGGAAGGAAGGAAGGAAGGAAGGAAGGAAGGAAGGAAGGAAGGAAATGAAAGGTAGATAGAGAACTGGAGTTTGATGCCCTAACAGACAGACTGAAACTAGAAAGTCACACAGAGCTAGATAAAGGACTGATAAATGAACAGCAGGCTGGGCAGAAAGTGGTATTAAGGAAATAAGGAAGTGACCACATCCCTATGTGTCACTGGGGGAAAGCCATCTGTTTCAGTTACTCTGGTCTTCCCACTGTCCTCCAGCTGCTCTGGGCAAAGGAATTGACCTTGAACTTGGGACAGCTCCCTGGATGACTGGACAACAGGGTGATTATGACAATCATAATAACCGATGTATTTGAAAATGAAAAAAATGATTCAAGGTGTTTTATGAGTTCCTGGGATCTAAGGAAGCTTGTCCCACATTTTTGGAATGGGGGTGTCAAGAGCCTTTTTAACTGGCCATTAGTCTAAAAGAAAATCAGCTCTATAGGAGGAGGGAGAAAGTCCTAACCCTTTTCTTGCCTTCTTCTGATTTTTTTTGAAGACTGTGCAGTGGAACCTCGGACTGGTGGTTTGATACTTGGTGCAGGGACCCCAGGATCACCTAATAGGCCTCTTCTTACCCCTCACCTTTGGGGGCTGGGTCTCTCCTTCTTGCCAAACAAATCCCATGGTGATAGCGGCCAGTACCAGGTGTGCGAGGCGTTGCTCACGATGACTCTTTAGGAACCTGCAGTCCAGGAGGGGCATCTACTGAAGAGATGTTAAGATCAGTAGCTGAAGCACTAAAGGGTGAGAGACTAAGGCAGGGATTCCGTGACTTGAGGGTCCTGCAGCTATTGGAGCTGTTTGGCTTTCAACAAACATCTAAATAGCTTTGTGCTTAACCCAGCGATGCAATGTGGGAGATGCCACGTCCTAGGGTGCCAGGACCTGATCTCCATCTGTCGCTTTGAGGGTCGCAGAGTAAGCATCGACGTTGATCTAAGTACTCCCCCCCCATACTGGCCTCATCATATCTGCTGCCCCCTGCCCCCCCCCCGCTGCGTGCCCCCCCCCCCTTAACCTTGTAACAGCTTTGAAAAGAGTAAGATCCAGTGGGCTAGGGATGTAAATTCCCTACTAAATCATGGCTCAGCTGGGTATAAGGCTTGCTCTGGGCCCTGGTAAATTACCCACAACCCAGCAAGATGAAGTGGCGGGGCTTTCCACCCAGCTCCGTCCCCACCTCGTCTCGTGGGAAACCCCAACTTCTGGTGACACGGAAAGGTCACCCTGGAAAGCGGCGCCAGTATGCAGTCGAGCCACGCCAGCTTCCTTATCTAACCCGGGTGCCATCTGCTCATCGCTCATCCCTTTGGCACTCTGCATTTCGCTCCCTTTGCCCCACAGGCGCCTCAGAAGGCGGGCACCACTTGAAGCTGCTGGGAACCCTGGCTCCCTAGGGGTGGGATGGACCGAGACGGGGTGCAGAGCCCTTCCTCTTATCGCCGCTAGGGGGCAGGGTCTGCCTGCGGTTGTGGTGGTGCAGCCAATGACAGTAGTTACCTGGTACTCGCTACAGGACGCTTCATTTAACAGTGTCTGAAATATGACGTTGATCCAAAGGACAAGACTGTCGCAGAGGCATTTGCTAACGTCACAGAATCAGGAAGGAATGAGACCGTTCTGCGGACTGACCACAGCCCAGCTCCCTTGAATCACGAATCACAGGTTTTATTTGAAAATTTCCAGCAGCCACAGTTTTTTAAAGCAACAAAGAAGTAACATTAATTTTTAAAAATGTACTTTGTTGAGTCACTGTATAAAACATATATTTATCATGTTCAAACTCTTGAAAAATCTGCTTTGTCTCCTCATTTTGTCTCAGCTGTTGAAGGAGGCACCTACAGGACAGCCTCGGTATAAAGGAACAATGTCCTTTGGAACAATGTTTTCTGAACATTGCAGGGTTGCTGGCCTCGCCTTCTAAACATACAGATGATTCAAAAGGAAACTATAGAAACTGAAAGGGAAACGCTATCCCTTTGCCGTCACGAACAGCCACTGATGGCTAGGGACTACACACCCTTTATCTAGCATTTGTTTGTTGTTGGAAAGGCTGCTTCTTTAGCTCCACGTTGGTTTGCTTGTGCAAACTTGATGTTTAAGAAAGGCTGCCATTCACTTGCCTTATTGACACCTCTTACTGTCCAACTGTAATCTCCATAAGAAGCAATGGTGTCTCTTTAAAATGCATGTATATCATATATAATTATATATTATAATAATGATAATAAAATATATTATATATTATAATTGTATATACTTTTTATTGAACTATATACTTTTCTCCCATATCCTCCTTCCTCCCCCACCTTCAGCCCTCTCCCAAGGTACCCATGCTCCCAATTTACTCAGGAGATCTTGTCTTTTTCTATTTCCCATGTAGATTAGATCCATGTATGTCTCTCTTAGTTGTCCAGGTTCTCTGGGATTGTGAATTGTAGGCTGGTTTTTCTTTGCTTTATGTCTAAAAGCCACTTATGAGTGAGTACATATGATATTTGTCTTTCTGGGTCTGGATTACCTCGCTCAATATGATATTTTCTAGATCCATCCATTTGCCTGCAAATTTCAAGATGTCATTATTTTTTTTCTGCTGTGTAAATGTACCACATTTTCCTTATCCATTATTTGGTTGAGGGGCATTTAGGTTGTTTCTGGGTTCTGGCTATGGCAAACAATGTTGCAATGAACATAGCTGAGCACATGTCCTTGTGGCACAATTGAGCATCCTTTGGATATATACTCAAAAGTGGTATTGCTGGGTCTTGAGGAAGGTTGTTTCCTAATTTTCTGAGAAATTGCCACACTGGTTTCCAAAGCTGCTGTACCAGTTTGCACTCCCACCAGCAATGCAGGAGTGTTCCCTTTCCCCCACACCCTCTCTAGCATAAGTTGTCATCAGTTTTGTTTTGTTTGTTTGTTTGTTTGCTTGTTTTTATATTGGCCATTCTTACAGGTGTAAGATGGAATCTCAGAGTTGTTTTGATTTGCATTTCTCTGATGACTAAGGATGCTTAGCATTTCCTTAAGTGTCTTTCAAGCCATTTTAGATTCCTCTGTTGAGAGTTCTCTATTTAGGTCAGTACCCCATTTTTATTGAATTATTTGTTATTTTGATGACCAATTTCTTTTTGGAGAACAGCCCTCTGTCCAATGTGGGGTTGGTGAAGATCTTTTCCAATTCTGCAGGCTGCCGTTTTGTCTTGTTGACCGTTTCCTTTGCTTTACAGAAGACTCTCAGGTTCATGAGGTCCCATTTATTAATTGTTTTTCTCAGTGCCTGTGCTGCTGGGGTTATATTTAGGAAGTGGTCTCCTGTGCCAATGCATTCAAGTGTACTTCCCACTTTCTTGTCTATGAAGTTCCATGTGGTTGGTTTTATGTTGAGGTCTTTGATCCATCTGGACTTGAGTTTTGTGCATAGTGATAGATATGGATCTACTTGCATGTTGATATCCAGTTATGCCAGCACCATTTGTTGAACATGCTTCCTTTTTCCCATTTTATGTTTTTTGCTTCTTTGTCAAAAATCAGGAGCCCGAAGGTGTGTGGATTGATATCTGGGTCTTTGATTTGTTTCCACTGGTTCTCCTGTCTGTTTCTATGCCAATACCAGGATGCAAAAAACACCTTTTTAAACTTACAAATTGTTGAGAGTGGCTGTAAACTGCCAGGCACATACATATCTGTGCACACCAAGTGTGTAAGCATACTTTATAACCATAAAATGGGCTCTTTGGCATCCATACCATACCTGGGATGGAGCTGATATTAGAAATTTAGTGTGCTGGCCCAATGTCTGATGTCACATGCTAATTATACTTTTTAACTGCCAATTTCTCCCACTGAGTGGAATATATATTACTGCTGTTTATGGGTACACTGCCTCCTAAGGGCATTATTGGATTGCGTACTTAACCAAATATCATAAGACGTTATTTAATTATTTATTTAACCTGGCTAATTTAATCTCAATATTCTTTTCTCAGAACGCAGTAGATACTCAAGGGCTCTCCCACCCAGTTGTGCAGCCCTGCCCACCTCAACAATGAAGTGCTGAGTATTCCCGCGACACACCGGGCACTTGTGCACAGCACTGAAGTGCTGAGTATCCCCGAGACACACCGGGCACTTGTGCACAGCACTTCTCGAGCCTATTGCAAAGCATCCTCTGCTACAACATCTAGCGGGATGAATGCGCATAAGACAGGCTATTTGTTTCTCTGCAGAATGGAAAGAGTCTTTTTGAAGAAAAAACCTACAGTTCCGGCATCCGGGAGGCTGAGACAAGAAGACGCCAAATCTGAAGCCAGCCTGGGCTACTGTTAAGACCCTCTCAGAAGGTAAACATGCATGTCTTTATTTCTATCATTTACATAACTATAAATGATAAGCACACATCCACACGAGCAGATGTTCAATAATTGTGCACATATAGCCTACCATACACTTTCTGTCGCTCGGTGAACCATACGGCAAAGATGCATAAGAGTGGCAGAGAGACACATACACGTGCCTGGCCTCTTAATAGCTGTGCGTTTTCATTTACTTAACAGACATGTTTGTTAAGGGAGATTCAGGGGGGGGGCTTCACCTTTTATCCTTTCATCTTTTATTTTTTAATTGCTATCGCTATTTAAAATGCCTACGACAAACAACCTTGTATATTCATTTTTAATTTGTTTTGAGTGAGTATTTTTGCAAGATGGAGTCATACAAATGGACCTGCGGCACCAAAGCACATGCGTATTTAACATCTCCACTGATGTGGGTACCTTGCTTGTTACACAGAGCTGTCCTGTGGCTAGTAACTAGCTAATCAACACAAAAGAGGGTGGGCGAGGACAGAAGCCTTGGTTTGTGGGTTTCGTCGCATTGGGAGACCTTCCCCGCCAATGCACATCTAACACTTTTGTGGGTTCTGGTTTTCGGCTATAGACAGAAGCATGAGGCATTCCCTTTCAGAGTGAAACATCCTGTGAGGAGTTTGGAGGGACAGTGTGTAGGTGCTTCAAGCCCACAGCTTGATTCGGGGTAGTGTGCTCACTGCAGGTTTTCTCAGGGGTCATAGGTCAGCGTTAGTTCTTTCCTGATAGCAGTCTCCATCATGTTTCCTTCCTTCGATGTTTCTGTTAGGATAGTGTGTCCACAGTGTGTGAGAACCACCTCTGCGAGCCCTTTCCCAGCAGGCTTTGCATGAGCTTTGTGCAAAAATAAAAATAAAACAACTTGGAGCTGTATTTTCTTGCATGGATCGGTTTCAGTGCTCAGCTTCAATGGGTGATGACTGGGTTTGGGTGAGGGGGTGTTTATCTAGGGTGTTACTGGGGCCAGCTGCCCATCCTCATTTCTGATTGTCCCATGAGGCCATTCGATTAGCTCACAATTAGACGTTAAACACCAGCAAACAAAGTCCTGAAGGGTGGAGGGCTGTCTCGTAGCTCTGAAATCCTACGGCTTGCTTTCTTGTAAATGTGGACAAGAAAGGGAAGGTCCTGTGCAGATGTGGGTGCTGTTACACGGCAGGAGCTGTGAAGGGGCGCTTACAAAATCCATCGATGCTCACCACAATAAGACGAAGGCTTCCTCCATTTCTCAAACAAGGGAGCGAGATTAGGAGGACCTCTCCAAGTTCGGTGCCTACTATGAAATTTCTGAATCAAGACATTTTCTCCTAGTATGCCTTCTAGAGGGGGGGTGGTCCAATTCTCCCAGGACCGAGATGTCAGACTCTTCTGTATCTGCCCCCTCTGTCACAGATGTACCTCATATATGTGCATGCAAATTTTAGTGTGATGTTTATGGATTTCATTATTTCTCCAGAGCCGTGACTGACCCTGAATTTATAAGTCAGAAAGACTTTGATTCAGCCAGAATATCACACGCTATATCAATGTTATGTTACTTGATAAGAACAAGGTAACCCACTCAGAGGTGGCAGATCACCCATGCATATCTTCCTATTTCCCCTTCATGTATTTTAAATGCTCATCTGTGATCTTTTTCATGCAAACACGTTGAAGACTTGGTGTGTTGCAGGTGTTGTTTGGTGCAAGGTAAGGAGGAGAGATTTGAGGACAGTCTCAGCAGCAATGATCGGGCTCCCTTTACCAGGTCAATGGTCCTAACTCCCACAAATCCGGGAAGGGAAGAGCTGTGAAGACGGAAGGAGGGTGACGGGAAGGGGGCGGCGTGAAGAGAAGAACAAAACAATGTACCTTGTACACGTGGGCCCGGAGCTGGCGGCTCTCGATTAAATGAGGAAGTTCACTGGCGATTTCCATCCAAGACCTGTACTGCTCGGGAAGTTCTTTCTGCGTTTCAAAGAGAAACAGCTCAGTGTTGTAGATCTCTCTGGACAGCAGCTTCAGAATACTCTTTGGGAGAATTCGAGTCAGCCCACGTGTGCAAACAGAGCACGCGACAAGCCTGGCCTGAGGCTAGCCTAGCTGCACAGATGTGCAGATGACAAGAATCTGTGCTCACACCATTTAGCAAGGGAGGGGGAAGTGCAGGCAACGGGGTCCTGCTGCAAACCACAGGCTCTTGTGGGTATAAGGGCTTGGGACTCTGCAGAGAACAGAAGTGGTTAATGCCTCACCTGCTGAGGGAATAAAAAGGGACTTTTTCACAGATTCATTATCATATCATGCGGCCTGGTTTTGGAGTCCAAAAGTGACTTTTTCTTTTCTTCATTTTTGCCTCTTTGTATTTTTAGTCTTTTGAGACAGAGTTTTGCTACGTAGCCCAGGTTAACCTTGAACTCAAAATACTCTGCATCAGCCTCGCAAGTACTGGGTTGTGGGTATAAGCCCTCAAGTCTATAGTTTTATTTTTATTTTGAGGAAGTCTGTGAATTGCCCAGGCTGCCACTGACCTCGCAAACCTCCTGCTTCAGCCACCAGCATAGCTGAATTACAGGCTTGAGCCACCCGGTCTTGGGGCATCTATTTCTGTGAGTCAGATTGCACTGAGACCCATCCGCTCCCGTTTGTCTGTGGCAGCTTTTGCATGCAAGCTGTAGCGCTGGGAAACTGCAGCAAAAAAAGCTGCATGCTATGCCCAGGAAGTTAACTTGGCCTGTCAGAAAATGTTTGCCAAACCTGGATGGAGCCCAATGGCTTTTCAGTGAGCCGGTTGTCTGAATTCATGTATGGCCACTGAGCTATGGAGAAATGAGTTGAAGACCGACCACCGACCGTGTGAACAGAGTGACTGTGTGACGGGTGCAAACACAAGGAGGAAATGCAAGCAGAAGGGAGAGCAGACAGAAAGCTAGTTCTCAAAGGGCGGGGCTTACACGTCTGTAGACATTAAAGCTGTGTGCCTAGCAGTGTGAGGTTCAGAGGGAAAGTCGCTAAAAGGGAAACCAGAGCCCACGTCGGGCACTTCAGAAGCTTACGCAAACTGAAAGAAGAAGAAAGTCTAGATTAGCACCCCGGGGAGTGTTTACAGGGTGGTTATAGTAATTGACTCTCTTGGCACAGATAACGAGAAAGTTCTGAAAGTTCACTGAGCCATAGAGAAAGATCACATGGAAGTCAGAATGTAAGAGAACTTGAGGAAAGGTAATAACCAGAAAATCAAAGGCATCGATATAGAGTTAAAAATAAGGCTACCCAACGGGGCAGTGGAGGCACACACCTTTAATCCCAGCACCTGGGAGGCAGAGGCAGGCGGATCTCTGTGAGCTTGGGGTTAGCCTGGTCTACAAGAGCTAGTTCCAGGACAGGCTCCAAAGCTACAGAGAAACACTGTCTCAGAAATAAATAAATAAATAAATAAATAAATAAATAAATAAGGCTACCCCTTAGCCACAAAGCATCAGAAGGAAGTGCGTGCTGGTTTCTCTAGTTGTTGTTGCTGCTGCTGTAGAACTTGAGGTCAGGGTCTCAGAAGCTGAGTTCACATGCTCCTGTGTTAGGGAAGTGTGGGAGTATGCGGCTGAACTTCTTAGGAACCATATTAGTGGAAGGAAACCTGCTTTCCCCGAGGTCTTCTAAGTAAGTGCAGCGAGCAGTTCATAGTCTGCTGCGAGGAGCAATGGGAAGGAGGGGGGCAGCAGGGCATGGAGAAGGGACGAAGGAGCCTGGAGAAAAGGGAGCTGCATCCTTGAGGGATGAGGAAGGAGGGAGCTGCATCCCGGCAGAAACAGAAGCAGGAGCTAGCGGCTTGGCTTCCGGGAGGCCCCGTTTCTCAGCTCACTGGAATGAAGTCAGCCCATTCAGACAAGTGGGCGGGACTAGAGAGGGGTAAACATTGCACTAAGAATGGGGGAGAGGAGTGGGGGCTACCCTGAGCATCGTGACATGGCCAGGAAGTTCGACAGTACATATTTGGAGAAGTAGAGATCAACAAGAGACCCACATATCGCTTGGGGGGGGGGGCTTTTCTCATGAACACCTGCATCTCCCAGGATTCTGTGCTCAAACTCCTGGTCAACCTGCAACTACAGAATTTCCAACATCTTGCCATAAACTCTGAAATGTCTGGACTTTAATTAGTCATTTCTTTTCTTTCTTTGACTCTGCAGTAATTCTAAACTGGAAGCCTTGAATCTAACTACATCAGGAAGGATGGTTGTAGCTCCTTAAAGATGGCGGTGTTGCTGGGGAAGACTGGCATCAGACTCGGTCATTAGCCTCGTAACTTGCCTATGACTTGCCTACTTCTAGGAGGCAGAGTCTATGCTGATCCACTCACCCTCACCCCATGCCAGCCAGCCTTTGTCCCGGGCAGAAGTCACTGATGGTGTCCTGTTCTCCAGGAGACAGCTACAGGGGCAGAGCTGAAGAGAGCTGAGTTGAAACCAATGTAAGAAAAGAATAGCAGGAACAGAAGCAGAGGCTGGTCGATTGCTCAGGAGCAGAGCACTTGCCTAGGGCTGTGAGCTTGACTCTCACCCTTAGTGCTAGAGAAAGAGACAGAGAACAGATAAAGACTGATAAGTAGATGGCAGAGAGATAGAAGATAGATAGATGACAGATAGATGTATGATAGAGATAGACGATAGATAGAGATAGATAGATAGATAGATAGATAGATAGATAGATAGATAGATGATAGATGGATGAGATAGATAGATAGATAGATAGATAGATAGATAGATAGATAGATGATAGATAGATAGATGATAGATAGATAGATATAGATGGATAGATAGATATAGGTGGATAGATAGATAGATATAGATGGATAGATAGATAGATAGATAGATAGATAGATAGATAGATAGATAGATGATAGATAGATAGATAGATAGATAGATAGATAGATAGATAGATAGATAGATAGATAGATAGATAGATGTGATAGATAGATAGATAGATAAATAGATAGATAGATAGATGATAGATAGATAGATGAGATAGATGAGATAGATGGATAGATAGATATAGATGGATAGATATAGATAGATAGATAGATAGATAGATAGATAGATAGATAGATAGATTTATGCAGATAGACCTGTGAACTGGTTATTTCATCTCACTGGTATGATCCTTGCATTTTAGAACAGACTAGCATACCTTCTGTTTATCCTGAAACAGAAAAGCACACATGTGAAGTCAGGAGGACTCAGATGCCCCCCGGAGTGGGCAAGACTGAAGAAAAACTGTCACTAACTATTACCCATACCTTCCCTTCCTTGGCACCTAAATAAGGACTCCCCCACTCAGAGTTAAATTAAGCCCGACTGGATCTGTGAGAAACCTTAAACAGTTTATTTCTTAGTAGTGAGACTCTAGGCTGCGGCCTGGTTTTCCCGTTAGAACCCAGAGAGCTGCTGCCTCTTCATTTCCAAAGTCTCGTGTTTGGACTCCAGCAAACAAACACAGCCAGGGAGCCGTCCAAGTGTGGTCAGAGACCACAATACCTGTGTCCCTTGGGGACTGTCCAACCCACAGACTCTTGGCCCTCAGCCCAGGCTTATACTCCACTCTAGAGGAGCCCTGCAGCCAGGGACCCCCAGCTGACGCTGACACTGCCTGAGGCGATGTCTCCCTCAACCGCAGGTGTTGCTAGGCTCCCTAGCCTCTTCAATTCTTCCCTAGGAGAGTACTCAACACCCTCTCAAACAGTGCTACAAGCCATTTACAGTGCATTCGGCCTGCCAGCCTTTCCATTAGAGACCGAGAAACGCCCAGAATTAAGTCAGTTGCTCTTCCCTGCAGGATTTCATGCTGCATTGGTGACAATAGCAGCAGGCAAGGGTCTCATTAGGGCGCAGGCGTCCTCTCTGATGTCAGCTCGTACCCTACCTGTCGCATTCATTTAATTGATTACTTAAACTTTCTCCCCCCCCCCTCGAGGGATGTGCCTTAGCCCTTTGATGTCTGAGGTCTAAGGTCTCTAAGTTCCCCTCAAGTCTGGTTGTCCGGGGAATTTGTTTTACAAATTCAGACAGACTGTTTTATGTCCCCACACAGCACCAGGGAGCCCAGAATCAGCTACGAGGGCCGTGTAGAGAGGAAGATAAAGACCTTTGGGGCCTCTGGGATCTGGAATTTTCTGAAGTCCACTGGGCCCTGGAAGTTTGTCAGACACCTACAGATTCCCCATGATGGGGCCCGTTAGTACTTGTGAGATGACATAGAATGTGGTCTGGTTAGTCCCTGACTGAAACCTAAGGTCTCTATGAAGCTGGGCGTGATGGGAAGTATTAGCTCATTGAAGAGCACCTGCCTAACATGCAACAACAGCAAAGAGTATCATTAATTAATTAATTAATTAATTAAAAGGCCAAATAAACAAAAAATAAGAGTGCTTTCAGTGCAGGGGGTGGAAGAGAAGCCTCAGAACCGCCAAGCTGACCTAGAGAACTTCTGCCCAGCTGTAATTTAGTTTCCTTTTTATAACGAGGGAGCCATAAGCTGGAGGTGGCTCTTCAGGTAGGTTGATCAAAAATAGCTGGGTCTCGGATAAAGGGCCAGAGCAGGTGCTAAACACCTCTAACTTCATTATAATAAATGCCACATCGCACGCTCCATGACACTCTGGGTAACATCATAGTTAAGAGTTGCTAAGGGAATGGCCAGAAAGAGCCATAAAAGTTAGGAAAAGAAGGCTAGAACCACAGGTAGAATGAGGACCTGAGTTCATCCCGGGTCTCACGAGGTGACAGGAGAGAACCAGTTCCTGGGACAGTTGTCCACTAACCTCCAGAACTCCAGAAGCCCCACTGTGGCATCTGCGCTCTCTCTCTCTCTCTCTCTCTCTCTCTCTCTCTCTCTCTCTCTCTCTCCCTCCCTCCCTCCCTCCCTCTCCCTTTTTCTCTCCATCTAGTCTCAGAAAAGAACTGAAAATGTCTCCC